AACCCAAAATGGTTTCTTCACAACACTTATGTACCCATAAGATGTTTGTGAGTAATAATGATAATAATAATAATAATAATGATAATAATAATAGGATAATCATGTCTTTCAATTAGTAGGTCACATGCAACAGAGATAGTCTACAGAAACATCAGACCAGATCAACGTGGTGAGCGCCTAAGCAACGACTTGACTGGTTAGCTATGAATATAACAATTGTTAATTCTGGTACTAATGAGTACATTCTAGGTCACACAGAGTCCACATCCAATACACGATCGCAGAGACACGATGGACCTAAGGAGAATAGATAAATGATTGCGGAGATTTGGGTTCTCATTTAAGCTGTGGCGGATATGGTGTTGGTATGAACTGAAGATTCCTTTGTGCTTGATGACTACCTGATTTCGAATTTCAAAAATAATACGATCATTCGTGTTCATCTAGTACGTCTTGATTAAATTGCGTTATTTCTGGGATTCTCAGTTCGTACCATAGCTCAAATACTTCAATGTATCATAGTTTTCATTGCTAGTATTGCTCAATAATACAGTAAAAACTTTGAGTGGGCTCAATTTTGTCATTTGCGATTTCCAGAACCATCGGAATGGGAAACCTCACTTCATGTTTTTGTGTTGTGTGATTGGTTTTAAAGTTGTTAGAAGAAATTCCAATCTCTCTCAAAGAAAGATGTAAGTGCAATAATTATATTAGGCTATTTCACCTAGTGCTTCATCGAAATGCATTTGTCTAGCATTTATATTTCCAAGGAACCAGAAGAATATTGGACTTTAACTAGTGGAAACGTTAAGCACAACCATGAATGCAGGACATTAGCCTATCACTATAGTTCATAGTTGTGGAAGTCAACGAAATCAGAGTTTTAGTCCCTCAAACCTATGCTAATTTCAGACACTACTGCATTTAACATCATGTGTTGCATACATTACTCATTTTGGAAGCCTCTGTATCCACTTAATGTGTTCATTATGAGGTACGAAGCACAATAGCATAATGTAAATATGTATGTAATGATAAATATTCAATTCTGAATTGTGAATTCCTCATTACTGTTTGCGGACCATCTATGCTTGATCTAGAAAATTTAAGAATGCATCAGGCGCAGCGTTCTTTATTTACCACTGATAACGATACTGACGAAGTGCTTGATAACTTGCCAACTATGGAGTCAAAGTGCGAAAAATTACTGTTGACTATGTGCAGGAAGAATTTTTCAAAACCTTGAACACAAACGTCACTTCTGCCACTGCTGAGAAATTCAAAAACCTGGAGAGGAGAGCATATAGCGTCCTTCAATGAAGAAGCTATATGCTTCTTTTCCGGTGAATATGAGAAAATGTGCCACAATATTAACATCCTCAACATCTTCATTGGTCATAGCCCAGATATCGAACCTTTCAAAGTAGTCCTCATAAGCATCAAAATCTGAACGAATATCTACCTGTTCCATCGCAGATCCTGCTCGCGACGCCAATATGATGATTAGAAGTATTTGAATTATAATGTGAACTAATAATCCCAGAAATAACGTAACTGGGTCGAGAACTACTAAAGAAGCACGAACGAATGTACTGTATTTAGAATTCGAAAACAGGCATTCAACAAGTAAAACGCAATCATCAGTTCATTCAAACACCACAGGATTCCCTATCTATTGTGTACTTTTCGAATATTTCATTTGAGTGTTTAATCATAATGTAGGTGAATGAATCCCCAAAACATGTTGTTCCGCATGTTTTCGACATTGATGCTGTATATAATACCTGGAGATGGTCGGTCATGCTACCCACCCTTCCTAATAACTAGTGGATTTAAATCAGGGACTTCTCGAGTTATCGAATACCATCCCAGTATATATAATTGGTCTTTCACAGCCCTGACGTTTGGTTTTCCGATTATAAAGGTTCTAAAAACAAAGTCATCAATGAAACCTGAATGTTAGTGACATTTTTATGCTTGAACAAATAATCTCTGTTTGATAAACGACTTGTTCATTTTAACGAGGCTAATTTGACAGGATAGCTAGTTGAAATCCACTAAACAGTTCTCTTATTGAACAATCAATATATTGTTCCTGTAATCAGACAATAAACATCATGGTAGTTCGCAAAGTAATATTTATCTATAACCCAATCAAGCGAAACTACGGAGGTCGTTTTCGATTTAATGAAGCAGATCATACACATCACAAGACCGTACCGTATCACAATCGTGTTATAACTCTAGTGAACAACCAATTCAATTAATTATTGTCTACCAAATGTCTTAAAAGATAAAGTAAATATACTGCTGTTCCTTCGAACTAATGATAGATGTCTAATCTTCATTGGCTTGTCACAAAAAGTTGGATATAAGTGTACTTGATCGACGAAATATGCAAACGGCCTGATTAACACTTTGACATTCACACTCTTTATTCTATAAGTACGGTTCCATGAATGTCGTGCTCTTCTAGTGGACCATGAATATATAATTTCCAAAATAATGATAAAGTTATCACATCTATAAATGAAGGCACTAATATAATAAACATAATCCATGCATACAAGAAAAATATACTGGACGCTACTTGAATTGTCAGGAATCGACGTGGTAAACCACAATTATAAGTACTTAATAACTCCAACCATAATTGCTATAAATCGAGATGTATATCTAGAAAAAGTATGTACTGGAGACACCACTGTGATCTGTTAACATAGCAAATATACTAAAGATATTTTATCATAATAACGGGTAATTGAGGACAAGAGACATGTATGTGCGGCAATGTATTTGTGAGTAGTAATCAGTGTGCCATGCTATGGAGATTCAAAGCGAAAACTGGAAAATCTAAGGTCATGAGTTTTTAAAAATCCTTTACAGCCACTCTTAGTAAATGTGTTAAACGTAAGGTGTGATCGATAAACGAACTCACCAATGATAAAGTTAAACGCTCACCACCACATTAACTTTCTTTGACCTCGTACAACTATGTCTTGTTTATTCACGAATCACATTTGGTGTTCATTATAAAACAATATTTTCCCTGTTAACTTATTTTTCCTATACTTTAGCTACTGTTCGGTGTTATTTAAGTTTCTGTTTTTCCCTGTGTTGATAGACTGTATTGTTTATTTTGTATACTAACGGTGTTAACTTATGTTTTAGAAACAGATAAAGTTTATCAAGCCAAATGGCTTACTTGTTCTGACTTTGGCTGAACCAAGACTCTGTGTTCGACGATCTAGAGAATAGTTTAGAGTTACAGCTTTAGGGAATCGCTTCCGAAAAAGTTTCGACCAATTATTTCATCAAACATCCATACATTGAATACCTTTAAATGTTTACGAGGGGTCCTAAAACTGATCAGATTCCTGAATTGTTTCTTCACTATTCAAAAACTCATAGTGATGATCAGTTAGGAAGAAATGGCTTCCGAATGGATCCCTTTTTAGAGTTAGAATTAGTTAAAGTACGTTTAGCTCAGATTGAAAGAGAAATTGAGTTAGAACGGTTGCGTCAAAATCGAAGAGAACAATTTAGCCAATTTGTAGTTGACAAGATTATGTTGCACGTGTCTACATCTGCCTCACGTACGGCTGATATTAATCCTGAAAAGGACTGGATAACAATGATGTCTAGAGCTTTGGACCTGCCAAGGAGAGAGATCATAAGGTTTGATGGTGGCTCTATAAACTATTGGAGTCTTATACGGAATTTTGAGGACTGTTTTGATGAGAGCATTCGATTTCGATTTGGGTTAAACTATTTGATCCAGTGTTGTGATGGTGAAACTAAGGCTACTATTGTTCAGTGCGCACTGCTCGAGCTAGAAGAAGGCTATCGTAAAGCGCTAGAGCTTGTCGAGGAAGCATTCGGTCAGAAGCACATAGTAGCCCATGCATTTATTGATAAGTTGTTGAATATCCCTGCTACTAATGGGACTGATCCAGATAATTTAGGAAGGCTGTCTCATGAGATGCATATTCGTGAGCTAACACTCACTCAAATGAACTATGTATCCGACCTTAATTCTACAAAGATTATCGAATGTATTTTTCAAAACTCCCACCATATGTACGGAGGGAATGGGTTAAAATAGCATGTCGAATTCTTAAGACAGAGAACCTTCAATCAAGGACCTCTGCGAATTTGTATAGGAACGGTTACATATAGCTAATACCAGATACGGCCTACTTGTCAACCACGGGAATAATAGTGACAAAAGTGATGTTGGTGTTTCAAAGGTGAAAATGAGTGCAAACTACGATGCAGCAGAAATATCATATGCGAGTACTAGTGATGGCAATGTTCCCTCACGTAGTTCATCCCGTTTTCGGAGTGCTCAAGCATTCATTCTTTAGATCAATACCAGAAGTTTAAAGACAAAATTTTTAGGGAATCACATTTGGTGTTCATTATAAAACAATATTTTCCCTGTTAACTTATTTTTCCTATACTTTAGCTACTGTTCGGTGTTATTTAAGTTTCTGTTTTTCCCTGTGTTGTTAGACTGTATTGTTTATTTTGTATACTAACGGTGTTAACTTATGTTTTAGAAACAGATAAAGTTTATCAAGCCAAATGGCTTACTTGTTCTGACTTTGGCTGAACCAAGACTCTGTGTTCGACGATCTAGAGAATAGTTTAGAGTTACAGCTCCCTACACTAAATATGATAATTAATGGACGAAATGCAAATAGTAGCAAATATTTGTTACAAAGTAAATCTGGCCTATCTTTCTCCACATTTTGTAAGTCATTGAGAAGTGGAGATAGGGTCGTAGCGAGGTACTGACATTCGATTAAATACTGTATGCTACAGTGCTTTAGCCGTAAATTTTCATGATCGTCTGTACAAGAACAAAAATTTGGAATGATTTAATTCACTTTGATGTCCCGGAGGTACAAAATAATTTGACAGATTAGTCGCTGTATTCGGAATTTAGTTTTTAAATCATAGTTTATTTTGAATGAGCAAACTGTTCTTGTTTTACCACTTCAATTTGTGCAACTCTTCAAATACTTTTTTTTCAAAAGGCTACATAATTATACTCTCGATATGTTCGGTTTCTGTAAGTTACACTTATATGTGTATTGTGTTACAAGCGGTAATGGTTGATAGTATTCTATAAATATAAAATTGGGTGTACTTCTATAAATTTTTGTTGGTAGTGTTGTGGTTGCGTTTTCTGGTTAAGTACATTTTTTTGTGCGACTATGTGGGATGTATCGTGCGTAATAAAATTAATTTTGGAATCCAGAGATTCCGGTGTAGATCTCATTCGGCTTTTGGTCTGGCGTGCAGGACTGAAAGGATCAATTTTATGGATGTATTTGGGAAATTATTTTTGCTTTTGTATTATGTGCATTTGAACACGAACAATGATTCAAGTTTCAGGTGTTTCTAGAAAAGAGTACATCAAGTATCTGATATTCTGCGCTGGTACGTTTGGGGTAAAATCGGCGAGTTTAGAGTAAATTTCAGGACAATCCAAAATTATGTTTCCGAGAATTCCGCAAAATACAAATACAGTTTAAAATGTAGGTTTTTATTTGTCCTAGATTCTCCTCAAGGTTTGCTCAGGCTCTTTAGTCTTCGTAATTGACAGGTTGAGTCTAAATCTTGACTTCTGGATGCATGTAAATTTCAAAGTTGGAAACTGAATAAATATTATGAAGGCAGTATGGCATGATTTGCAAACTGGGGGTCATGAGTCTTTGCTTTTAAGCTTTTTGGTTTGTAATCCGACATGCTATGAATAAAATTTATATATGAGAAAATGTAGGGACACAAAAGTAGTTTTACAGTATGTAAAGAAAGTTACAAAATGCTGCGACTTGGAACAAACAGTTTATCCCTTAGTATATCAGATCTCGTCGAGGTTCACCAGTCTCTGTGACCTGTGTTATTGGTCGTTGTCTTTCTGGTTTGGATAGTAATGGTGTAACGCAGCTGACGTCGAAATTATCTCACAGCTAGTGCTTAACGTGGATTGTCCCCAAATGCCCTGGTACGGCCGAGAGAAGCGAGTCAGCTTTCCCTCTCGAATTCCTCCCACATGGCTACGCGTATACGACCACTACCCGGGGTTACTCACTGCCTTCTTGTGGCAAAGATGTGGTTTACGAAATTGAGATGACCAAAAGCGAGTGTCAGGCGCTTTAAGCCGGGTGGTGGACACTGAGGGTCCACCTAGGAGAGTTGAAAAACCCTGATTCCAAATCAATGGTGCACATGAACTCCAGTATCCTGAGGGGGAAAATGGAGTATGAATCAATTGTTGGTCACCGTCTGCCATGGGACTGCATTTCCTTGCGTTAATCCACTCCTATGTGGATCAGACCCTCAGGTCGAGGACTGGGTGTGGCCCCCTAAGTAAACTACCTGCTTCGCTTTGGGGACCCGAACAATATTCCAGCTCACACATGTCGAACTATTTATGTAGCATGTATCTATTTGGTGCCTCCTTGTATCAATGTTTATGTGTTTAAACAAATAAATAACGTTGACTACCTTTTCGTGATATCCAGGTACTGTGGCTGCTTTGATGACTGTATAGAATAAACGTGAAGAAACGCATCAATAAGAATAGATTGGAGAAACATGCGATCATCATTTCATGTGCCAGTCTTTGGTGTAGAGTTGACCAGTATGCATTAGTCACTTTTAACCTTGGCGATGTTCGACAAACTAACGACCAGTGGTCTGTTGTCTAACGTAGAAACGGTTCAATCCAATGGTTGATTTGTCTAGGGCTCAGTTACGTTTCACTGTTTCTATAGGAGGATCAGAAAAACGTCAGTATATTAGTTCCTTTCCGTTTAATCTATGGAAAACTCTCCTTGAATATGATATTCCAAGTGCAGTCTAACATACGTTAATTCTAATCTCCTGAACATATCTTCATCCAATCCATGAGCTCTTCATGTAAGTGCTCCCTGTGCTTTCTGGGAAGCCGTCAGTAAAACTCTTTGTGTATAGGGCATTTTCTTAATGATCGAAACTCCACATCTCTCCTTAAGCTAATCTTTTCTGTTTAGCTTGTGTTCAATGAAGATTGCTTATCCTGAACACGGTCAAGTTGTCCGTTTTCATTTTTGTGGCCGTTTTAATGACTCCGCCTGGTCTCACACTGTTCGGACATTTTATGTTCGTATGTTTATTGTTGTTTAAAAAAGAGGCACCGGCTTCGTGGTATTTGCAGATTTTCGGCTTTCACCATAAGACGTCACTTCTATGGGATTTTTCAACTCCTAGGGCGGAGTTTAATTGGTTTTCTCTGATTAACGATTATACGGTCGTGCTCTTTTCACAAGGTGGGATTACTTACCATACGTGACTCTTCACCCGGGCTTGGGACCGGCTGTGACACTAGAGGAGTTTCAATAGAAGTTATGGTATCACATAAGTCGAGTTTGACCTCTTAAACACATCTACATTCAAATTAAGAACGGCTCGATGAATAACAGTCAGTCCCCGGCTAATAGTTACCCGGGGTTCTTATGTCACTACATACTATGATTTCTAAATTTTTGCAATCGACAAGCTTAAGTAAAGGCATTCCATTTCTTTGTGTAGTGTTATTTTTCACTGGCCGATTTTCATTACTACACTTTTGCTATAAGTCACTTCTGAAGCCAGCCGTTATGTACACTCAACTACAGCATTCAGATTTTTCTGTAATCTTATCAACCTTATTGTTTATAGATATCCATACTTTAATTTCATTCACAATCAAAATAATTTATCCTTTATGTGGATTAAATAAGAAAAGGGCTCAAAATTATCCCTTGGAGAACTTTACTATTAACAGATCCTCACTATATTAAAACATCTCACTCGTTGTCTGCTATCATTAGTGCAATGTCTAAATCTGTATCAATGTCAAAGCTTTCCAGTTTTATTGCAAGAAACAGAATGAGAGGCCTTATTAAAGACCTTACCGGCTTTCCTAACCTCCGTGGCGGACAGCCGGTAGATTTATGTTGGTTATCTATAGTTTTGAAGGGGTTTGCAGAGCTAAATATACTTTTAAACTTATACTATGTTTCTTTTCTTGAGGAGTTGACTCCAACTGACCAGTTGGTTGCTTCAGAACATTCTAGTTTTTGAAATATTTGCCTACCACACATTTGGGTAAGGTTGAACTTGATTATATACTGTCATAGGCTCTAAAACTCAGCGACAACACCTCATGATCACTGTTAGTTAGCAATGGTAAAACATACAAACAGGTAACATCTCCAGTTTCATATATGAGTAATGTCTATTGAATAAGGTCCTTGATATAAACAACCACCTGTGGACCTGAATACTTTTAGTACTAAACCATGATTTAATATTCACAAGCTAACTATGGGATATATTATCAGATCCACTAATGGACAGATATTTACAATTTACATTGCAAGCATTAAAATTTACTGCTACCAGGCACTGGTTACTTTTATTGTGTTTATTGTATTTTAAAATGAAGTAATCAATCGATCAGATTAAGCCACAATAGATAAAACTTGGCATAGATGTACAATCTTCTAAATTTCATAGCTAACTACTTCTCAAGTCACGCTTTCATGGGTTCCACAAACTAAGAATTTTATTTGTGTGCTGTCTTTTATGTTTATTAGAACCCCAACCTCTACGTCACCTATTCCCAATAATTCCATAGTAATGTCAAGTTCATGTACTAACAAATTTTTCGTCACAGCTATGGTGTTTTTAATTCGTCTTCCTTTGGTCCATGAAGCCTATTTTTTAGACTACAAATATTGCTATACAAAACTTCTAAAGAGAACGACTTATACACACAGGCTTTATCAATATTTGTTTCCGAAACCTTACTCCTGGAAAACCCATCGCTTGGTTTTTTTTACTTTCTCCTTTGGGTTGCTACTTTAGCTAGAGCCGTATTTCTTTGACTCTATCTTCCTGTGTTAGCAGGCGTTATCCCAATGTTGATATTATTTTCCCCTCGAGCATTAGTTAGCAGATTTCTTTGTTATAAGACTGGCAGGAGCCTGTACATGAAATTGTCTTTTTATAATGAACTGTTAAAAGTGGTTTTTAAAATTGCATGTCTGGTTAGTTGTGTGTGCTGTTGATGGTATGAATGATGATATCAACCCATGTGTAGTGAAAGCCAGAGCGGCGTGTATCAATTTGGTCCATCTTTGACGCCTTTGGTGTCCAGTTGTACCGGTATCTATGGGTTCCAAATAATAAAGAGAAAGACATTTTTCCTTTGATCCTAGAATTAATTTAAGAAATCTACATGGTCGTAGACCAATATTCCCACATTTCTTCTTACCTATTTATGTTTGCTTTTTGATATGAACTACATGAGATATTTGGTAGTATCCTAATTATAGGAATGTCTGATTTTTGGATCGGGGTTATATTAATTCTCAGAACTGCTTACAGTAGCATTAGAGGCAGTTTACTAACACAATCCTCTTTATCCATACCAGGATCTCCAGCGCTACTAAGAAAGCAAGGTTAGTTCACAATTTGATTATCACTATCCTTTTCAAAACATGGGGTTTTATGCATTGACCGTTAGCCACCATTGTATGTCTGACGCGAATCATTTTCCAGGTGCTGTATACTTTTATCCGATTAACATGCCGATACAACGTACGGTTTTCGTCAAACTCGAATCTTTGTCAGCACATAACACACTCAGTACTGACAGTTTTAGAATCCTATTGTGATCGTTTCCCTATTAAGGTGTGTGAGTGTCTGTTAATATCTCTACTGTGGAATTTAGATTGATTGTGTTTATCTAATGTGAAAACAAAGTATTGTATTAAAATAACTTATTTATTATTCTTGTCCCGTCAAAGTTGAGAAGACAGACGTTAAAGAAATATTTAATTTAGTTTGAGGGATAAAAGTTCCCCGAAAATTTTGTGCTTTAAAATCCCAATTACTTGTGGCTTATTTCCACGTCAAATATATTTAACGTTATACTAACTTCGTTGTCAGTCGTCAACAGATAGTCAGTCAGTCAGCTGCAACGTAGGACCAGGCACGTATATGCATCGGTCCAAGTTGCCATACCGCATTAGCACAACAAGATGAACACCGGATTCATAGGAGTAGTTAATTCAGTGGTGGTAATATATAGAAGAAAGAGTGTGTATAAGGAGATAGTACAGGAAGATAGAATTAGTTCGTAGAAAGAAAGATTTGAAGTGATTTTAATCTCTTAGTTTAAAGGAAGACAGAGAGTGAATACACCGACGCCATTGTGATCGATTCTGAGCCATGTCACCAAAAGTCTCCAACCATTGGTTACGATAGTCACGCGGACCCCAACCAGGTAGTCTGCATCTACCAACATGGCTCAGACCAGAAGTTAGTGACTTCAAGCACTGATGCCACGTTTTGGTTTGGCCGCCCCTAACTTTCTTCCAGTCATCCCTAACACCGGTTAGCATTGCGCGTCGTGGTAATGGGTGTTCAGGCATACGCAGCACGTGGCCCAACCATCTCAGTCGATGAAGGTTCATAACCTCATCAACTGATTTACCATCATTTCCTAATACCCTGCGTCTAACCTCACTATTGCTTACCCGGTGATCCCAGCAGATACCCGCAATATTTCTAAGGCACCTGTGGTCAAATACTAGTAACTTACGAATATCTTCTACTCTTAAAGGCCATGTTTCGCAGCCGTATAGTAGAACGGAACGAACTGCCGCGCAGTATACTCGTCCCTTAATTGATAGACGGATATCTCGCCTGCGTCAACAGATAGCTAAATCTAAGGTAAAGGCCAATGGATCTGTTAAAATTACTGGTGACGAATCAGGTAGAACTAGTGCAATATGTTGAATAGTTTCTGTTGCTTTATTTAAGTATGTAATAACTAATTAAAAAGATCCATTATCACTCGTTCGCCTTAATTTTTGCCACCTCACTTATGAAAATACGTTGCATGACTATAACTCTTACCTTGATACAGTAGTCGAGCTTGATTATCATTATTCAATGGAAACGACTTCAGAAAAGCACTCATGCGCCGGGGTCTGTTGTGGCAAATAGGTCGGTTAGCTAACAGTAGGACTAGAACAGATAAATTTGAGGTTTAAGGATGACGTCTGTCTTTCAATAAATCACAAGAAAGTTTAAAAGTACTCTTTTCCTGTGTTTGATATGATAAGGGACGTATGAAGCTTAAATTGAGAAAATAGGTGCTCATATACCATATTTTATAACCAACTTTAAGCTGTTGTCTTTTGGGCTGTGCATTTATGATAATGTAACCACTACTGTTAATTGAGTTTATTTTTCAAAATCCTCAGTGAAAATTATGATGTAGATAACGACAAACTAACAGTTGGATACTAAGATTCAGAAATAATGACAGGAAGTGATTTTAAAACGCGCGTAAACAGGTTTTGTCAAGCTACAACACAGGTCGAATATTCAGCACCCAGGCCTAGTTATCAAGTGACTGTAATCATCTTCTCCAATCATACAATCATTTGCTCTTATCAAGTACCAACTTCAAACATGAAAAGTATGTGGTTTGATTTGAAGAACACTGTGAATCAAATCAGTTCTAGACACAAACCATATCTTTGCCATTTGTTATTAAGTAAAATCGTTTCACAATTTCATTCGCTTTCATGAGACTTATTTATTTATAATAATGAAATAATGCACCTGTAACAGCTTAATAAATAGAATTTCTTACTTTTCACTACTAAATATAGGTTACTTCTTTATGGAGTAAAATAGTCGCGAAATACCAGAAGTTCAGTTCTCTAGTCACTAAAATGTTACTGAGGTTTTTTTATCACAATAATATTATTTTATCATCAATATTATTTTACTATCTTAGTATTATAAAAAACCCGTTCAATTTATTTATAATTTTACTTTGCCTATGTTCAGTTTTCCACATTTTCATTGTTGTTCTGTCTCCTGTTTCTTCCTTACTAGTTTCTCTTACAGTATTAGACAAGATCTTCAGAAAAAACATCGCTCAGCAAACCCTTTTCTTTTCTTCGTCACCCTCTAGAAAATATGATTGTTTCTCTATTCAACTAATTATTTAGAGCTTCCTGAAATATTCTCTGCTATATATTATGTAGTTTGTCGTATTACATAAACCTTGTTTCACAAGCTTTTTTGGTGCTAACTTCATTATAATTAAAGTATGGTGAATACTATTTTGTTTTTAGATGAAAAGCCAAATTACCCTGATGTATATATGAAAATACATGAACCAAATCCAAATGGTTCTTTTTTCAGTAGCTATTTAAATCAACAGTCTGTCATTGCTGATCCGAAGGTAAATTAGTGTTTGCTGTGCATAAAAATGGATGTAGTCATTAGTCGCAATTAAATGCTTTTATACTATTTTTACTAAGAGCAGTAATTATGTGGCACTCTTTAAAGTTATGAGGAATAATTGTTTCTTATGTTGTTTGAATTGAGCAACATTGTGAAACAAATTTCCTCGCATTTGCCCGTATTCATTATCGCCCCGTCATAAATGTTTTATAATACATCATGCTAGCTAAGTATCCTAATGGCATTCAAAACATAATAATTTGCAATTAGTATACTGATAACACGAAATCGATAATCATCTCACTGTTCAAAAAGTGTGATGTTTTTTGAAGTGTCGATTCAATAACAGTATAATGTAATTCCTCCAAGAGCAGGAAATATTGGGAGTATATAAGTACTAAGAAGTACTAGTACGTCGAAAAAATTTCCCACGTCTTTACACTGGTTAAATACTAAGGAGACTTGAACGGACTTTTATCCAAGCAACTTGTATCGTTTCTAAATAATTTGTCAGTTTTATAATACGGACATTTAAGATTCGATTACTGGACAATGGATAAATTAATGTAGGATGAATTCCATGAGCATAGTATAATGTAAAATGTTTTCGGGTATTAATGAGACGTATTCGCCCAACTTACTTACTTACGCCTGTTACTCCCAATGGAGCATAGGCCGCCGACCAGCATTCTCCAACCCACTCTGTCCTGGGCCTTCTTTTCTAGTTCCATCCAATTCTTGTTCATTTTTCTCATATCTATCTCCATTTCCCGGCGTAATGTATTCTTTGGTCTTCCTCTCCTCCTTCGGCCTTGAGGATTCCATATGAGGGCTTGTCTTGTGACGCAGTTCGGTGCTTTCCTCAATGCGTGTCCCATCCACTTCCAGCGCTTCTTCCTGATTTCTTCCTCCACTGGGATCTGATTTGTTCTCTCCCACAGTAGGTTGTTGCTTATAGTGTCCGGCCAGCGGATCTGAAGTATTTTGCGTAGACAACTGTTAATAAACACCTGTATCTTTTGGATTTCGTAGTTTTCCAGGTTTCCGCCCCATACAGTAGAACTGTCTTGACATTTGTATTGAAAATTCTGACTTTGGTGTTGGTTGCTAATTGTTTTGAGTTCCAGATATTCTTCAGTTGTAAATATGCTGCTCTTGCTTTGCCAATCCGTGCCTTCACATCTGCATCAGATCCACCGTGTTCATCGATGATACTGCCCAAATATGTAAAGGTTTTTACATCTTCCAAAGCTTCTCCGTCAATTGTGATTGGATTGGTGCATGCTGTGTTGTATCGGAGAATCTTGCTTTTCCCTTTGTGTATATTGAGACCTATTGCTGCTGAGGCTGCAGCTACACTGGTTGTCTTCTCCTGCATTTGTTGTTGCGTATGCGATAGAAGAGCCAGATCATCTGCGAAGTCTAGATCATCCAATTGCATCCTAGCTGTCCACTGTATCCCGTGCTTCCCTTCAGATGTTGATGTCTTCATGATCCAGTCGATTACCAGGAGAAAGAGAAAGGGTGAGAGTAAGCAATCTTGCCTGACACCGGTCTTTACTTCGAACGACTTTGTCAACTGTCCTCCATGAACGATTTTGCAGTTTAATCCATCATAGGAATTCTGTATGATATTGACTATCTTCTGAGGCACGCCGTAGTGTCGAAGAAGCTTCCATAGGGTTGTCCTGTCCATGCTATCAAATGCTTTTTCGTAGTCAATGAAGTTGATATAGAGTGATGAATTCCATTCAATTGATTGTTCCACAATGATCCGTAGATTTGCGATTTGGTCTGTGCACGATCTATCCTTACGGAATCCTGCCTGTTGGTCTCGAAGTTGTGCGTCTACGGAGTCCTTCATCCTGTTTAACAATACTCTGTTGAAGACTTTTCCTGGTATTGAAAGAAGAGTGATTCCCCTGTAGTTGTCACAGTTGCTGAGATCGCCTTTCTTTGGTATTTTGACTAGAAGTCTTTCTTTCCAGTCTTTTGGTACCTGTTCCTCATCCCAGATCTTTCTGAAGAGAGTTTGGAGTATCCTTGCAGTTGCCGCTACGTCTGCTTTCAGTGCCTCTGCTGGAATGCTGTCTAGTCCTGCTGCTTTGCCACTCTTGATTTGTCTGATAGCCATGCTGATTTTTACAATTGTTGGTGGGCCAACATCGATTGGGAGGTCCGTGAGTGCTGCTTCGATGTTGGGTGGGTTCAGTGGGGCTGGTCGATTCAAGAGTTCTTTGAAGTGTTCTACCCACCTGTTTCGTTGTTCTTCAATGTTGATGATTATCCTGCCTTCCTTGCTTTTCACTGGTCGTTCTGGTTTACGGTGATTTCCGGAGAGTTTCTTTGTTGTCATACAGTTGTCTCATGTTTCCTTCTCTGGCAGCCTTTTCCACCGTCAATGCCAAATCTTCCACATATTTACGTTTGTCAGTTCTGATGCTCCTTTTCACTTGCTTGTTTACTTCTGTGTATTCAGCCTGTGCCTTGGCTTTTTCTGCTCTTGTTCGACTGGTATTGATTGCCGCTTTCTTGTTCCTCCTTTCTTGAATCTTATCCAGTGTATCGACCGTGATCCAATCCTTGTGATGGTGCTTCTTTTGGCCCAGAACCTCATGACATGTTGAAGTGATTGCCTCTTTTATCTCTTTCCAGTTGCTCTCCATAGTAGTTTCTTCTCCATTGAGTAGATCATGAAAGGCTTGGAACTTATTGCTGAGGGTTATCTTGAATTCATTGAGTTTGTCATCGTCCCGAGGAAGAGCCATATTAAATTTTTGTGATATTGTCCTCCCCGTTGTCCAGTGCCTCTTGAGTTTCAATTTCATCTTGGCGACCAGCAAGTGATGATCTGATGCTATATCAGCTCCTCTCTTTGTTCTCACGTCCTCCATCGACCTCCTGAACTTTTTGTTGATGCAGATATGGTCGATTTGGTTCTGTGTGGTGTGATCCGGTGAAGTCCATGTGGTTTTGTGTATGCGTTTATGTGGGAATATAGTGCCGCCTATGACCAGTTTATTGAAGGCATATAGATTTGCAAATCTCTCACCATTTTCGTTCCTCTCTCCCAGTCCGTGTCGTCCCATGATCTCTTCATATCCGGTGTTGTCAATTCCAACCTTGGCATTTAGGTCTCCCATCAGAATAGTCAGGTCTTTTGTTGGGCACTTCTCGACGATTGACTGCAGCCTATTGTAGAATTGATCTTTAGCGTCTTCATTGTAGTCATTGGTATGCGCGTAGCATTGGATGACGTTCATTGTAATCCCCGTTTTCTTTGTTTTGAAGGAGGCTTTGATGATCCTTGGTCCATGAGATTCCCATCCTATAAGTGCATTTTGTGCTTGTTTGGACAGCACCAATGCAACTCCTTGTGTATGTGGAGCATTTTCTTGTTCATGTCCGGAGTATAACAGCAGCTCCCCTGAAGCTATTCGTTGTTGTCCAACTTGCGTCCAATGTGTTTCACTGATCCAAAGCACCTCTAAATTGTATCTCCTCATTTCTGCAGCAATTTGGAAAACTCTCCCAGTCTCCGACATTGTGCGAGCATTCCATGTACCTAAATAAATGGTTGCTCTGGTTGTCAGAAGGGGCATCGGCCTCGTGACTTCCGAAGAAACTCGGCTTTCATCGTGAGGCGTCATAATTCTTCTAAACGAAGACCTCCTGACTCCCAGGGCAGAGTTTAAATGGTTTGAATAATTTTTTCTGGTTAGCGTTTTTTTAGCGAGTTAGTTTTCTACGGGATGGGGTCGCTAACCCCATGCCCAACCCTCCTTTTCTATCCGGGTTTGGGACCGTCAGTAGCCCCCGGAAAGGGACTCCAGGCGGAGTTGTATTCGCCCAAGCAATAGTGTAATTTCCTGAAATTCCATAAGTATCGCTGACATTCAAATAGATATTTTAATAACGTTAATCAAAGTATTAGTTAGTTTAGAAATTTGACTTAATTATAAATAAGAGTTGTGTTGTTTTTATGTCTTAATTTATTTTTAGAACTCCATTTTGGTTTCGAGTAAATTGTGGGCTAAGTAATGTGATTAGGTATTTTTGACTCTTGAAGTTCAGTTAATTTTTAACCGTTAATAAAGAGCATTGAAAATGGAACAAGAAAGGCACAACATTTTTCAGATAAATATGTTGAACCTTTTAACGAACTAATCAATGTTTTTCCGTGGTTTAATACCGATCATTTTTTTGAAAATACAATTGGGGTAAACACTTTGTTGGTGCATAAATTGTAGTGCTTTTGATAACTTGTGTTTAGTTCTCTTTAATTTTTATGTTTCTGCTTCTTTTGATTTTGGTCTACTAAAGTTAGATTTCGTTTTCTCTTCCTGTAGACTGGCGCACGCCAGAGTAGCATGGTTTTGACCAATAACGAATATTCAGAAGTCAAAACAATGATGGACTTATTCCATAGAGGGCTTTCTTTATCCCGTAAGTTGTTTGTTTTTAAAATCGATACCAAATAAGTTACTTTTCAACTTCTCTTGACTACGATTGATATGTATCAGATAATTTATGTATAATCAGTTAGTCCGAATATATTGGTACGTGTTTCAGTGTCAACAATCACTGGATAGTACTCATTCCTCAACCATCTGTGAAAGCATTAGCTAACTGAACACTGAATAATCCGGGAAATTCATTTAATCAATTATGTAACTCATTTTCTAAGCACAAGTATGTACTCACCGTTAAACCTTATTGTTTTTGTAAGGATTAGTGATACTACTATTTTGCCCACATCCAAGTAGATAGAGTGCCATTTGAAGTTGAAACCTTTTAGTTTAAAGTTGAGCGCGTTTTCCATTCAGCCATTGTTCGTTACAAAAGACTACTAGTGATGTAAATGTGAAAACGATATATGATAAGAATATATGTATAATATTAGTTCATTAATAGCTCTCAGAAGTTATCTATAATTTCATCTTCGCTAGGATATAACATAAACTACACTCCATAAATTTCTAAAAGTATTTACTGTTATGTTATAACGCATCGTGGGATTAAAAATAGTGAGTTTGTCAAATGGAATTCTAACATTCGCTTTATAAACATGACACATTTTCTAATAAGAGTAGTTAGGAGGATTTAGCTTGAATGATTTACCAGCTGTTATACTATATAATAATACACTACTGTTAAATTATGTAGGTAGGCAGATAAAAAACGCGTAATGGAAGGTCAGGAGATTTTGATAATCGTTTGCTTGTAGCAGAATCCTAGAAAATCCGATGGTGAACGAAAATGGGTCAATTATACAGACTTTAATTATTATGTAATCTGTTTAATTGTAGTCTTTAGCTTGCAATTTGTGTTGATTGGTTTAATATTTTCATATAAATATTCATGTATATTAAACGCGGATGACGATCTAATTGAAAACAATGTTGTTCGCTAATATCTGTGTTGCTCGAATTACATCGATTTGTGTAATTTTACTTTCCCCCACCCCGTAGTCTTATTTTACCACTTTCCGTATACATCCATATGTTCAAAACACAAAGAATGTTTGATCGAACTATTGTTTTCAATAACTTCATGTATTATTTTACAAATTTCCAAAATAAGGCATGGTAGTGAATTAAACATCGTTGTTTGCTAAAAAATCCCGAACTCGTGCATCTGTTACGGTGTAAATACTTAGAAATTGTGTCATTTTTAAGTTAGAAAGATCATTTACTAAAAGTTAGAATGATTCGTTATAAAGTTTCATGGTACAATTGATATAATAGAATAAATTGTGTTAATAAAATAGATTATTGGAGAACTTCGTCTCCTTAATGGAGAGAATAATAAGAATGTCGTGTGAATATAATATGTAATAAGAGGGGTTCTGTCAAGGTAACTGGGATTATGGTGAATTGGGGCAGATGAATGTATAGACTAAGAGGAAGGAAGAGTAGGTATAAACACGAAAGGAATTAGTGGAGATTGGACAAGGGGTTTATAATATCTAGTTCGTGCATATAGTGACCCGCTCGTGGACCAGGGTAAACACAGAGGCTCAATCTCTTTTTGATACATAGGTTACTCTTCCGAAGTTGATCTCGATGGTTTCAGCTCTGCAGAAGTTATAATCTTGCTCAAATATTCTTTCTTTGAATATTCTATGGGGATTTTTAAAATGCTGATATCCATGTACGTTCAGGAATTTTTTAGGTAAACTACTTTTGCTTGTGAACTAAAAATGGTGTCTATTACACTTTTCTTTTCGTCTTCAGGTTCAAGAAAATGTTTAGGTAGCAGATATACTACTAACGAACCATATTCATGGATTACTTATCAAGAAGTTTCTTAAAATACCATCTAATACTTTATATCTTTTCAAGGTTGATGAAAAAATTCAGGCTTTTGGATCAGCACTTGTTAAAATCATGGATAAGTATCCAGAGTCAGAAAGGTTTGTAGGTATTTACGGTCGAAATTCACCTCAGGTGTGCAAATTATCTTAATTTAAGCAATTTTCGTTTCGAATCATTTTTGTACTGTTGTTTTAAATCTGGGTTATTGATGTGTGGGCGAGAATTATAATGATTGGTTGTCTGCTTAGTCAGACGTGTAGATAGTCTGACAGGCGTTAGATGAGTTATATATACTCCTATCGTTATTATTATTATTGATTGTTGTTGGATTGCTGTCGGTTTTTTGGTGTGAAAGTATATTAACGTTCTAGTCAGGCTAATCACGTGCTCTTGATTTGAGTTGTGTTGACGTCCTGTAGAATAGACACTGGGAGGGTATCTATTGTAGATATTCGGCTAAAACGAATTAACGTCCCTTTCGTGCAGAAGTGGAAAGCCGAGTGTTATAACAGTCACACAGATAGTAGACAGAATGGGTTTCGGTGAGTAAGAACTGCGGTAACAACTCCAAGCTAATTAATGTCTGTCAGTAACTTTAATAATCCAACAGCATATGGTTAATCATTAATATCATGACATAGTGTTTCATATTAATAATTTAACTTCAATAATTATGTCAATGTACCAAGTACTCTTTGGCGAAAATTACGATTAAGAAACATGCTAGACATCTATTTACAGCCACTTAAATAATTCCTAAAGGCCTTAATCTCTTTCAGTTTGTCTCCATCAGATTACACATTTTCTAATCCAGATGAACAAGAACTTTGGTCGGTATTTCTCTCGCCTAATAATAATGTAATTTTCTGACAGATTTCGTAGCAGTTCGATTCTATAATCTAGATTATATTTCTTCATTTAAAAAGATTATGACACCTCAAATTTATTGGGAACATTACTAGTAGATAATGGATCTCTATGATAATCAGCGTCCAACAAAACTGCACCAGGTTCTTAACTATTATTTGATTCATATGACATATTTTCTGGCAAAACAAGAGAATCTCGGTAATTAAATTCGTCAGGAACTTCTATCGCAGAATGATGAGCTTCGTTTGATGCAGCTGCATTCAGTATACTGCTCGATTTGGTTTGCGTTTCGTGGGTGGTTACTGCGACAATTCCATGAACATTAAACAGAGCATCTTTTTGTGAGCTGGATAAGTCATTGTCTGCACGTGCTGTTTCGGGGATAATGGAGTTTGAATCCATTACCGGGCATGTTTCTGAGATGTAGAGTACTGGACCACTGGGCGGATCTTGAGTGACTGCTGTTTCGTTTGAAGTACGGTTTATCGAGGATTCATGGAGGCTGCAATTATTTTCCAGCTCAGTGTGCAATTGAGAAATTAATCCATCCACTTCCGTTGCATCTCCAAAGCATGAGTGATTCAGCAGCTGCGTGCGTAATTTGACTAAGAACTCCAACTGTCGCTCAAATAGCAGCTGTAATCGATCGGAAGGGAGAGTCATTTTCTGAATCAGCACCGGTAATGAAAATTACTGTATGAATAATGACCAATATCGTTCAAGGACACTGATGACAAATCTGGATGCTGATTGCCCGAAATAATTAGACTGGATTTCGTCCAATTACAGACTGACTTCGGATCGTAATTTTTTTACACCATCGCCAATTATTATATTTGGTCCATAATATATCCCAAAAAATTACCATTCATTATTCTTTTCGGGGCATAACGCCAAGCCCCACAAGGTCTACTGAAAGAAGGAGCAACTACTATGGGGGACAGCTGAAAAGGGATCAAAGAAGCACTAACTTCAACGTGTCGGGAGGTTCTGAGCCGCAAGAAGCATCATCATAAGGAATGGATCTCTACCGAAACCCTGAGCTAGATTCAAGAAAGGAGGAAGAAGAAGACAGCAATTAATAACAGCCGAACAAGAACAGAGAAAGTCAAGGCACAAACTGAATACACAGAAGCAAACAAGGAAGTGAAGAGGAGCATTGTTATGACCTTGATTTGTCTACCCACTTTTTGGTGCCGAGGATACTTGTCTAATCTAGATTTCGACCTTGATGCGATAGGCTGATCAGCTTAACCTTGAGACTAGTACGCGTGAGTTCGAGATGGGGTAGAGAGAAGAAAACTATTCTGTCACCTGATTGGTGGGCAAGCACACGAATGAGAGAGAAGACAAGACAACTGGAACACTACTCGATCTATTTCCCTGACCACTGAACTCACTGGATTTACTGAATTCAGATTAGTGTAAAAAGGTACATGAATAAATAAGTGAATAACCCGACCGCAACGTACAATAATTAGGAAAAATACAATTATGTCCAAAGCTGGGAATTAGAGTAGAAAATAGGGTGCAAAATAATATGTTTAAATTACAATAGCTTCGGAACAGAAAAAGGTATGGCAGTGAATGATACATCGAACGAAAGCTTATGTTCTGTAGAATAGATTAGGGACAAAAATAAATGTCAATGTTTTACAAGCTTTGAATAAAATGAAATAACGTCCCGAAAAATAGCCTTCGTAGTTTGTCAGGGCTTCTTGTTTCCCGGTTCACATCAAGCATCAGGGTCGACAAGCGGAAATACGTGAAAGACCTAGCAGCGACAGTGGAAAAAGCTGCAAGAGAGGGAAATATAAGACAGCTATATGATGCAACGAAGAAAGTAGCAGGGAAATATAGTAAACCAGAGAGACTAGTCAAGGACAAAGGCATTCCAATCATTGAGATTCAAGAACAAAGGAGCATATGGGTAGAGCACTTTGAAGAACTCTCGAATAGATCAGCCAAACGGAATCCACCAGACATCAAAGCAGTACCTACAGATCTTCACATAGTTGTCACTTCACCGATGATTGGAGAAATCGAGATGATCATCAGACAAATCGAACGTGAGAAAGCAGCATGACCAGACAACATACCAGCTGAAGCACTAAATTCATACATGCAAGCAACTGCAAACATGCTCCATGTTCTATTCAGGAATATTTGGGAGAACACGTACCGACAGACTGGAAAGAAGGTTACCTCATCAAGAAACTAAAGAAGGGAGATCTGAGCAAATGTGAGAACTAACTACATAGGCATTACACTCCTATCAGCATCAGAGGAAGTTTTTAACAGTGTTGTTTAACCGAATAAAAGATTAAGTGGATGTCCAATTTCTAGATCAACAGGATGGGTTCCGTAAGGATCGGTCGTGCACAGACGAAATGGAGACACTACGGATCATCGTTGAACAATCAAATGAATGGAACTCGTCACTATACACCAACTTCCTTGACTATGAGAAAGCATTTGATAGCGTGAATAGGTGGACATTATGGAGGCTTCAACACTATGGTGTACTCGAAAAAATCGACAACATCATCCGGAATTCATACGATTGACTACAGTGCAAAGTGGTGCATGGAGGACAGTTGACAGACTCATTCGAAGTGAGGATCGGAGTCAGACAAGGCTGTTCATTCTTCTTTTTTCCGGTGGTTGACTGGATTATGGAGAACTCGATATCTGAGGGGATGCGCGGAATAAAATGGACAGCTTGGATGTACCTGGACGATTTGAACTTCGTAGATGACCTAGCTCTTCTACCCCATGCACACGAACAAATGCAAATGAAGACAACTGGTGTAGCAGAAGCCTCTGCATCAGTAGGCTTCAACATACACAAGGGAAAAACAAGATCATGAAATACGATACGAAGTACAACAAACCAATCACACTTGATGGAGAAGTTCTAGGAGAGGTGGAATCTTTCACGTCACTGAGAAGCATCATCGATGAACATTGAGGGTCGGATGCCAACTTAAGGGCGAGGATTGGAAAATCAAGGGCAGCATTCCTACAGTTGAAGAACATGTGGAACTCGAAACAACTGTCAACCAACATCAAATTCAGAATCTTTAATACGAACGTCAAGACGATTCCACTGTATGGGGCTGAAACTTGGACAGCAACTATAATCATCACCAAAAAGTATTTATAAACAATTGTCTGCGCAAGATGCTGAATGTCCGTTGACCGGATACCATCAACAACAGCCTATTGTGGGAGAGAACAAACCAGCTTCGAGCTGAAGAGGAAAACTTCGTAAATCGGTTTTGAGAATAATATTAGATACTTTAGATGATTTTGTCTGAATGTTTGCGTTATCATAATAAAATTCCAAACCATTATCCGTATGCACTCATATATACTGTGATTTCCCGCTTTTCCTGACGTACCAAAAGATGCAGTAATTTGATGGCAACAGTTATGATATTTCATTTTATATGTGGTTTATGATCAATTCTACTTAGCCTCTGTATTTCAGGAGCCTTTATCATTTAGGTAATAAACTTCGAGTTCTTGGTATATCAGAGTGTGTTACCTTCATTTGTTTAATGTAGTAATGATATTTAAGTTTGAATTTGTCATATTCTAAAATGGTTAGGATAATCACAGAAATCCCCGTTTTGAAATGACTGTTGTCTAATTTTTTATATATCGTAGTTAAATCAATTTCTATAGAGTATTTTTAATTTCCTATTATTTGTCTATAAAGTTGACCAAATTCGCATGGAGTTGGATATTTACTGGTGACATTGGATGACGATTGAGCTCTATTGCAAAGTAATAAAGATAAAAAACGCGAACTATTAAACTACGATTCGGTAGTTAAAAGAAACCAGGCTCTATGTGAACTAAAGGTCCTATATTCGATATCACGTAAAATCATGAATGTGCGCTGACTAGTTCCAAGTTGAGATAAGCTAACCGTTTCTCAGTATTTTTTCTTACTTAAGACAGTCATTGGTGAAAACTGTTTTCAAGTTAATTGAACCTCTGTGACTTGTATGTATTCAAAATATTTCTCAATCTCAGCACTCGTTGCTATTATTGTGATTGTGAGTTGATTTATTAGAGTAAATATCTTAACTCGTAGATGTGGACACAGTCAGATGTAGATAAGCACCATACATCTAATTATAAGCAAGGATGGTGGCTAGCAGTGGAATCCAGGATGCGCGTTTCGTCCTATTGTGGATCATACATCTAATTCTTGATGAGTTTATCCTAACCATGATGTGATCACTTTTTAACATTGAGATTGATGAATAATGTGAATCTCATTTACACATAAGGATATTTCACAAAACAATTTAGGCTGGGCAAATTTATTTGTTTGAATGCATCCTGGCTTCCGTATTTGTTGGAGGTGTACAAGTGTTTATAAAGTGGAAATATGCCGGATCTAGTGTTTGCGATGCTATAAAAAGCTGATGACCAAAGTTGAGTTGAATAATTCCGTTTTATTATATTAGGTTGTAGGTTCTCTCAATGTTTGAGTAGAAGTTAAGATTAAATGAAGGGTGACAACAAACCTGAAACACTAGTTACCGTAGTTCATAGATGCTAGTCTGGGATATTGTCTTGTTTGCACATTTTGAAAAGATTATACAGAAGCAACTGAAGTTTGTCTGTCAACAAAATCATTTTCTTTTCTACATAAATATTTTTTTATACGAATATATGTTTCAATCCATAAAGTTAGTCTCTGCTATATTGATGCATGTATAAAGAACCTTCGTTAATATTAACCATAAACATTTAATTCCCACCATGACTTATTGTCTCTATTTCATTTTAGTGGTTTATTACACAATATGCCTGTTTTTGTTACTCGTTTACTGTTGTCCCTCTGTATGCTACTTTGGGTGATCCAGCTATGCAACATATTCTTAAACAAAGTAATTTTTTTAATATACTTGTGTTGTACCTCTGGAAATCTTATTTTAGCTCACTGTTGCTTAATATGATCTAGAACATACATTATTTTATATCACCTAAATAAAAATCGTGTAAAGTTTTTTTTAATATATTTGAAACAACTATTGTATGATTTAATCAAATTTAATGACATTTGTTTAAAGCTGTTGTACCAATATGAAGTTGTGAAATATGAAATATGGGATGTATGCATACAATACAACACAGCCTGAGTAGAAAAAGTGCACTTAATTTGTAGTCTTAATTTTGGAAAATACTCTAAGTCGTAATAAACCGTATTACTCAACATAAAGTAAGCAACAGTAGGCTTGAACTTATCATCAAGCAATCGAAGGTTGAATGTTTAGAGCTTTTGAACCACAACCCTACAAAAGTTGATGATTCACCAATAAAAATACTGTTATTATTGTTTGTGGATGCTGACTGCACAAACATTCAATAACACCTAGTTCTTGCGAAATAATTTCCTAGCTAGTACTACTAGCTCCAGAGTTGATCATTCTTTCAGTATCAGATTTTTAGACTAGCCATTATTTATATAATAAATATTTTTCTTATTTTCTCAACAACTTTAGCTGGACTCGTCATATTAATGTGCCATTCAGCAGATTTAGCCATCAAAATCCTAGAGAACTTTAATTCATCATTAAAAGTCATTATCATTGCTGTCCAGGATCAAAGTTTTGAAGATCTAAAAACCCAGTATGGTTCTTCGGTGAACATTTATTCATTTGACGAATTCTCGGTGAGTTTTATTCAAAATTTTTAACATTGTAGTATCGAAGATTATTCGATAAGTGCAATTAGGTGTGTTAGTCAGTTAAACGCAACGTAGAACCTGGTATGCATGTACATCAGTTCGATCTCCCGTACCCCATTATCACAGAGAGATGAAATTGTCGGGCCAAATTCTAGAGTAGTAAAGGTAGTAACAGTACAAGTGTCAATAGAAAAGATTAGGTATCGAAGATGCACTCAAATTAGTAAAATAAGAAGAATCATGAGGAATTCAGAAGCTCAGTCTCGGAGAAGATAAAGAGTGCATGAATCTATACCATTGAAAATGATTTTGAGCCATGTAATTCAGTCTGTAACCATTGGTTACGACAGTCACGCAGACCTCAACTAGGTAGTTTAGACCTATTAACATGACTTAGTCCATTTGTCAGTACCTTCATGGACTGCTGCCACATTTTGATTTGGTCACCTCTAGCTTTTTTCCAACCTATTACACCAGATGACATCGACCTTCGTGGTCGGCAGTGGTTGTATATATAGCACTGTAATTTATTTTAATCATTAGCGCATGAGATCTTCAACGACTGATTCTTAACACTCACTTGCATTCGAACAAGCAACACTATACTCACCCTGTTGGTTATATTAATAGTTGTTTGTTTGCTTTATGGGATGATGCATTATCTTCAACAGACTATGTTTGAATTTTCCAACATGAACCTAATTCGCATGTCTAAAAGTCTAGTGTTCACTTCTCTCAACTACTTGAAGATTTAGAATCCCATTGACTGGTTAATCCCTTGACCTGGAACCTCGTGCTGATTTTAAAAGGCTCTGATCCTGTAATTCTATAAAATATATGCATTTGTTTGGAAAGATCAGTAGTCAAATATGTGTCAAGTTCTCTTTCTACCACAGTTACCGTGTATAGCTATCGTTGATTAAAACGGAGGAAATTTTATTTCAGTAAGTGTGCCTATTTTAGGAGACTGGATAGTTGATCGTATATGGAAACAAGTTTTAAATATTGACTTTTTCTCAAGAAAAAAACATAACGTATAATAATATTTTTCAACTATTGCTGGTTCTCAAAAAACACATATCTTCAAGTACAACTCAAACATATTGCTTCTTAAGTGGGTTGCATTTATATGCTATTCGCTGTGAGTAGGCTTCATGTATGTTCCACAGATTATGCTATCTACAGTCGTACCATGCTAAGCTAGTTTTTATGTGACTAACATCTGTTATTATCGGTTGAATACATTTAGTGATTTTAAATTTTTTCTTTGATCTGTTACCTGGGACACTCAGTATTTTAGGTAATATTTATTTCAGTCTTTATTGAATCCTTTGGTGACTTCACTGCTTAACACTTCAAACTGTTTGCAACTGTGTGAAAGAAAAGATGAAAACTTTGAAACAAGTAACCTTTGCGATGTTACATTCTGTACGGCTTATAATGTCATGTTTATAGTATAGTGAAAAGTCTTAACGAAGAAGTTTACTCACCATTACTCATTCTCATACTGGTTGCTTTGATCACGTATCAAAGCAGTTTATGTACTGAGTGTTTTACAAATGTCTCTACTGGATGTTGAGATATGTGAATTACATTAGGTAAAGTTGAAGGCATGGGTGAATATAGTTTAAGAATGGTACTTGTGATTGCCTTAAATAATCTGGATAGAGATTATAGAAATGGCCATTTCATTCTAGTCTAAAACTTCCTAACAATTCGCACGTACAGCATCAATACAGCCTAAAACAAGTACTTCCTTATCCCACGATGACCACATTGTTTGAAAAACTACTGAATAGATATACATTGTTTTATTTTACCGGCTTCCGTCATTTCACTAGTATAATCTAATTGGGAATCAGACAATTATCGGTCGATAGCATTGGATGATTGCTACGCTATATTAAAAATGAGTTGAAAATGTGAACTACTGGCGATTTTTATGTGGTGTATTCTACCACTTATCAGGGTTGATAATGTGAAATGCTGAAGGTTCTTAAACTAGAATGGAACAGGTGTTTAATCCTTTCCTCATTTTAAGCGATTTTTCAACTGATGTCAGCATGTGAGGGAAAATATCTTTGAGCTTAACTTATCCTAAACCACTCAACCAAAGGATATGAGTTAGTTATCATCTTGGATTTTGAGAATAGACCTAGATAAAAAAGTTATTTTCGTGATACCAATTTGTTTAGGAAACGATTCGTTTTAAAGAGAAAATGTCTGACTATTTTTACCAGTTATACTTCTGATATTCTATCTTTAGTTGTCAGTTAAACAGTATCAGGTAAATTGGTTAAAACGACGGAAAAAGCGCTATAGATTTGGTTTCACATATCATCAGATGGAGTCCAATTTTCCATCGCTTTTCACCCATGAGCCTAATTATCTCACTGAAATAATAAATCTTTTAGAATTATTATTAAAATCTGTGTTTAATCTAATCAAATTAAACAAAAAAGTATTATGCCTGTGCTGCTTTCAACTGAGACAACGATGTGTCCTACAAAACTGAAATATACGTTTATGTATTTGAGACGAAATTATAATCGTATCATATCTTTCTGATGGAATATCAGGTTTTGTTGTTTTTGTGTTAATTTTCTACTCATCAATTTTTTTTCTCTGCCAGCTCAACATCCATGGCATCTGGCATCTGAAATGATGAAATTTCTCGTTGATTGTTTAAGAACATGAAATATTTGGGCTTTATTTTACTAAAAGTTGATTAAATATAAAATTTTTAAAGTTTACTGATCTACAATACAGATATCTAGATAATCAGCGTAGGATATATTATTTATATTGTTTAGAAATATTTGCGTTTCATGCGATTTTGGCATCCAGTATTCATATTTTTTAAATATGTTAGCAATTCAATCATCTGTGCTTTTCAGCTTGAATAGATTATGGTTGTCGGCTTTTAGGGTTTAAAAAAACGTGATTAAAATACCAAGAAATAATGTTTTCTTATCACATGTGATTTATCAAATGATTTTAGTATGTCACAACAACGGTGTTGAAAGTAGGACTATTCATATCACTTGAATTAAAAAACGATAAATCGACCTGAAACGAAGGTGAATATAAAACATATAACACCGAAAAACCATCATAAAATGAAACTGTGTACAGGCATGTAGTGACTACATACTTATTATGCGTTTACATTTAGGATGGAGACCAGGATGCTACTTAGTTTACATTTATTAAGCTTATGGAATCACAGTTGAGTTCTCAAGAAGTTGATCTGAACAATAATTTTACTCGTTTATCAGGTCTTATCTTGAAAATCAAACTTTACTATTTATAAATTGTAGTGTGGAGCTTAGGGGTACTCAGTTAGCACAAAAAGGGATTTTATTAGCAAATTCAGAATTGTCAAATCTGAATATTTAAATTCATGGACTTTTTTTTCACCAAATAAAGACTTTCATATAATCTAACTGATGTGTAGGTGAGAAAAATGATGGTTGAGTTCGTGAGTCAATTAAAGCTAGAACACCAAGAGAAACCTGGAAGCACTGGCCGGCCGTTTCGTCCTAGTACGGGACTCCTCAGCAGTGCACATTTACGATCCTGCTCGCGAGATTCGAACCCAGAATCTTCGGTCTCGCTCGCGAGCGCCCAACCTCTAGATCACTAGGCCGGCATCCAAGGGTGTTAATGTTTAACTTCAACCAATTCACGGAATTTCGTCACTATTCACTATTGTTTTTAGTGAGTTACTATCTCACAACAGGCCCGGTTGAACTCCACTGTTCACGGCTTCTCGCTATAACTCCAGGAAATACCTCTTGAAGCCGGTCACGCCCGAGAGGGAGTGACCGAAAGTCCTGGGTTCGAATCATGCGAGCGGGATTGTGGATACACACCTCCCAGGAGTCTCATACTAGGACGAAACAATCATCCAGTACTTCTAGGTTTTTCATGGTGGTCTAGCTTTAAATGACTCATGGACTCAACTATTCAATTACTATGTTATCCACAAAAACTCCTTTCTGAGAAAAACAATGCTTGATTGTTTACCTAGTCAGACAATTAGATATTTTGACAAGTATTCAATTTTTTGTATATATACCATGTTCTAAGGTATGGATTCTATATTTTATGCCTAAAATTATTGACAGCATATACATGCAAATAAAGTAAAATTGATAGTTTGTTTCCAATATACACTCGTTAAGTCCATTCTAAGTTGTTTTGTCAAATGAATGTATAGAAACCTGGATCATCTGATCAGTGGAAATTAAGTACTCTAATATCTTAACACTTATAAACTAGTGTCATAATATATGTCAGGCCGTGAATATCAGTTCACATATGACACAGGGTTAGTTACTTCAAGAAATTGAATTTATCAATTTAATGTCTGTCAAATATTCTCCAGATTCAGGAACTTATCACGTTCCTTCAGACAAATTGTGGAGAGCTCAGCCAAAGCTTTGATGGCGGCATATTTATATATATATATATATATATATATATATATATATATATATATATATATATATATATATATATATATATATATGATTTTTTAGGATCTGGGAAGAAGTGATCTTAAACCGAAAATGGTGAGTCCTTGTCGTTTTATTTTCTAGTTGAAAATCCTATAATCGTTTTTAGTAATCTATGTTCCATTTACAAATTTTATGGATTGTATTTGTGATTTATTAATCTTCATTTTTGAGCATACATTATCGTTTGTATGGTATTCAATCAATTTTTAAAATTAACTTAAAGTCTCAGGATAATGTGTCTGCTTTAATCAAAACTTTTTGCTAGGATAAAGATGGACCATTAGACAAAAATGTTTCCTTGTGCATAATTTGAGGTGAAGATAAACTCCACTTTTGTTCGTAATTTTGACGTTGCACCTAGCGACCAGCCAAAATGAAGCGGGAAATACTATCCACCCTATCTTAATCCATGATGCACGACATGTTTCGTTACCTGTCGTTTTTGCTCTCTTACATGGAAAATGCAAAGTTTTCTACGACGAAAATATCACTCCATCATGCAACAGACGTGTTAAGTGTAGGTCAGTTAGTCATGATAGAAGAAAAGTTAAAACATAGCAAAAGCCATACCTCCAATCAATTTTATAATAGAAATTATTCTAAAATGTCTACAATTAAGTGACTAAATCAGCAAAAACATAACCGCAGTTACTGACTACGATACACTTATATGACTTGAAAACGTGAAGTTTTTCCCCATCCATAATTCGTAGCTGTTTCGTAGAATGTTTACACACTTAATGAAAACACGTATCATCATATATTTTTCCATAACGCTCATGTATTACCAGATACTGATCATTTTAGTCATCAGCGAACGAAAGGAAATTATCTCTACAGATCAATTAAGATAAGCTGATTTTGCGTCATCGTGTTTTCAATGATATACTTGTAGACTAATGAATTCTTTTGGTTTTTATTACCATCGTTCGATTGAATCAAGTCAGTGCATATTAAACAAGATGCGAGACTACTTCTCTTATACTTAGGCTAAATTCTCTTTTTGCATACTTTATTGAATCACATCATCATATACAACTGGTAGAACTTGGCATAGTAGTGGGTTTAGTGAGATTAAACTTAAACTAAATTCACAGTTTTTTATTCTTTGTAACAAAATTAAGTTTACTTTACACATCGATAAAATAGTTTATTTCCGATGTTGACTGATCGCGTTTTCATGGAGGTACTTTGATTTCTGCTAACTTCAAAAATAATTTATCATAATACTTTAATTGACCATTGAGTAGTTACCAGCTGTTTGTCTGGTCTATTGATGCTTATCAAATTCTGTCGATCAAGTTCCAATGTGATCGTTTGTCTGAGTGACTCGACATCGTGCTCATCGTATTAAAATGTTGGGTGGTGATTGGAGGTCCCTAGTCACTACATAGAAATCAAAGTTAATGCAGGTTCTAACATTTCTGACCTCCTATATAGCTATATTTAATAAAGCATTTGAAATCGATTTTAATAGTGTTTCGTGTTTTCAAATTTTTCTCACTGTGAACTCGAAAGCAGTTCATTTATAGTAATAGTGTTTAATTTTGCTTTGCTTTATAGCCTCCAGCTGAGAAAGATCTATGCCTTATCTGTTATACCAGTGGCAGTACAGGTGTGTATATATTTGGTCTTTTTTAAGTAGGTTACACACCCAGAATTTTTTGTCAAAACATTATGAAAATGAAATTTAGATTGCAATGTCCTATATTCTGCGAGATACATTCATTCATTTCATTGTCAAAATCCTCACTACTCTATTCGTAATGCTATATACTGTTTTTTTTACCTCAGAATGCTCATTAAAGTGCCTGAATAAGCTGTATACAGTGAAATTCATTACCAAAAGTATTATCACGTAAATTAATATAATTCATCGACGTAGAATTTTTCTGCGACTTAATTATGCCGTTACGCATATAACTTAATATAAAATCATATCACTGCGTCATTCTATTTCTAATCTGTTCATTAGCCCCATATGGGAGCCGCATAGATTAAGAAAGTTTGTTTTGACTTTAATTGCTGACTGTCCACTAGACTATCTTCCATTGTCTTTCAACTAATCTGTAGCTCAAGTCTAATTCTTATTATTAAAAGAAAAGTTTTTGCCGACTAATTATCAGTCAGTTAATCAGAAGCAATCTAGAACCTGCGGTATTTATACATCCGTTCAAGTCGTCAGGCCACATCTATACAGTAAGATGAATACCAAAGTAGTAGTATTGGTAGTAGTTTATAAATTATAAAACATGGAAAATATGATTGAAGAAGAATTAATTCATATGATGAATGGTGCAAGATAGTTTTAAAATAACATCAAAGAGTGAGTGTATCTACTCTATTAGTACTGATTCTCGGCTGTCACCTAAAGTTTCTAACCACTGGTCATGCTCATCGCGCCGATCGCGACCAGATAGCCCCTATCTACCAACATGCCTCAATCCACAGTAAATGACTTCATGAACTAACGCCATGTTCTGGTTGGGCCTCTCCTAGCCTTCTTCCAGCTTACTTTACGTCAGCTACCAACGTCCGTCGAGGTAGATTGTGGTTGAACATGTGTGATACAATCTAACCATTTCACTTGGTGAAGATTTACTAACTCATCAACCGATTTTGAGCTTGTTTTCCTAGTACCCTGAGTTTGACCTCACCATTGATCACTCGGTAATTTCACGAAACGCGATCATCGCTTTTAAGATACCTATAACCAAAAACACCCAACCTGTGCATGCTTTAAACTCTAAAAGTTCATATTTCACGTTCATAAAGTTCTCTGTAGTATACACTCCATTCGGTTGGTAGATGAACATCTAACCTACGCCATAGGTAACAGAAGTTGACAAAATTCAGTCGGGCTTCCTGAATTTGTGTTAAGATTTCTTCAAAAACACACAAATAGGTCTGATAAGACTTCCAAGATAAATGAAGAGATCGATGCGCTCAACTGCTTCGTCTTCTATCATTAGTTTATGCGTTCATCCAGACTAGTCCTTGATTTTTTTAAAACTTAGCAAATCTTATCCAAGATTCGTTGATCAAGAATTGGAATTAGACAACATTAGTGATTACTGTATAATACTCTGTTACCTTACTGATTCTTGAATATTTTATCAAAAAATATAGTTACTTGGTCGTCATTTTGAGTTTAAAATCTTTTATCTTCAGTTTTTATGTATGTTGCCATTAATTATAGTTCAAGTTTTTGCTTGAATTCAAAATTTTAGGCTTGGCTAAGGGTGTCATGATTAGTCATGAAAATTTGGTAGATACAATCTGCTCTACAATGGAGTCTACGGAAGCAAAGGCAAGTTACTTTGGTATAATAAAGCAATAAAAATGAAATCTTACTTTTTTCTCAAAAAAACACCAGGGATCCTTGTTCATAAACATCTTAATGAAGTGTAATTTACAAACAAAAATTTTTTCAAGCTTACAGACTTTAGAAAGTATTTGTGTTTTGATTAAATGAACTATTTATTACCTAAGAGTTATCGGCTGAATACTATTGTAAACTGACTGACCTGTCTAACACAGTCGTGTAAAAGTGTTGTCACATTCAATTATTAATACTTACAAACTAAAACACCGGAAAAACACGATAATGACCCGATTTCTTAAATGATTATAGCAATATATATATATATATATATATATATATATATATATATATATATATATATATATATCAGTTTGTCAAACGCCGTATAATGTCCGTACCTTACCTTAAAACTCCATTTACGTAATTAATTGAGTTAATTGAGAACTGAGTCTATCAGCTCAAAACACATTTCAGATGTAACGCTTCTACTTATGCTGGTGGAAATACCCTACTCCTATTGGAAGATTGGTTGAGGGAAACTTCGAATTGTTTGCTTTATTTTAAGAAGTGATTGAATATGAAATATCCCGATGTGAAAAATCAGTTGGTCGCTATCTAAAAGAAATAACATTGAACTAGTCAAAATCGGTTAAACGAGCTAAATTAAAAAAAGAATAACTTTTATATCATATCACGTGAAACGAGCATTAAAAGTACTATTGTATGATGTTCAGAACGTTTAAAATGACAAGGAAAACCTATTTTCTCCCATTATAAAATAAAAATGATAATGTTAAACGTATAAAATGTTCAATTCTTCACAAATAGACTAAATATGACATGCAAACCAACCTTATATGTAAATTCTAACCATCAATCCTGACCCAAACCCTAAACCCTTGACCGTAAACTTTTGATCCTAACCCTGACATATTAGTCCTAATTTTAAACACGTAACTATGAACAGAATGTAAACCCCCAGAAATATTATTACTTCCTTGTAAATGTGTGATAAGACGGCTAACAATTACTCATATGGACGGATTTACAAACAGAACAATCTGTAGAAGATTTTAATGGATTCATTAGTCATGTAAAATATCTTTGCCCTTTGTCCTCGACAACCTATTCATTTGCTGATTGGCTAATGACTGGGTAAATTCCATTTTGGTTGTTGTAAGCTTGTCCTTTCACCATACTCTTACCGATCATTGGTGAACATAGTTGAAATGTAAATCATTGAGAAGTATGTTATTTTATTTTTCCTGAAGGTCTGACTTGACTGTTGCTTCCGTTAAACTGTTATTGGACCTCAAATGTTTCAGTTTATTACAACTTTGCTTCCTGCCAATAAAATCGTGAATCAATCATTTTGTTCCGTTCAAATCTGCCTGCAAATGTTTGTATACACTTGTTCTATTTATATTATCCAAATATTCGAAACATATTAAATTATACCATAAAATTATTCACGCCCGAAATACTCATAAACCGTATTGATCAATTTCCCGACCGTAGCTGCTACCTTGACGTGGTGGTCGGGCTTGCCTATCGTGATGACCCAACCGAGCTATATTGGCTGGAACACATGTTCCTGCAGGTTCTACCATGCCAGGCAGGTCGATTGGAGAACGGTAAGACTAAAAGCAGCAACTCAAGGTCTGAGGGGGAAGTCGTACTGCTGACTGTACAGAGGTGTGACAGCAGTAAGGTGTTTCCCTCGGACAATCAGCATCTGCAGCGATGCTGCCTTCTCACAAGAAAGGAAGGGGTTAGAAAAGGTTGACCCTAAAAATGTAACACCTCACCTTACTTCACGGACTTCCGTCTCCGGCGGTAAGGCCGTTTGAAGAATGGAGCTAACACATTAACAACATCCCACAAAAAGGCCGTGCGCGACCGGCCTCAAGCAGTTGTCCCTTGGGCTCTGCGGTCACACTCCTAGGTCTTCAAGACCAACACTAATCCAACTTCCTTTTCAGGTTCCTCAAGAAATACCATTCCACGGTGTCGGCAACCGGGAAGTGATATCAGCACTCATACCCTTAGCAACACACGAGACCAAGTTGGTCACAAGCAAATCCTCCCTACATCTCTTAGTAATTCTCATATCTGCACGAATAACCCACCTCACGTTCCTTTATCACCTCGCGCTGCTAATGCAAGCGATTTGAGTATGCGGAACTTTATTCCTGGTCTCCTGAAATCACACTCTAAACTACATGTAGCAACTTTTAACGTCCGAACAGTATGCCAAATAGGACAACAGGCTTCCTTGGCTAGGACTTTAGAATCTCGCGCCATCGATGTGTGCTGCGTCTCCGAAACGCGCACACAGGATCCTAGTAGTGTCATTCATTTGACCGCACCATGTCAAATTAACGAACCAACTCGATTTACGCTTCGTGTATCTGGAAGCCCTGATGCTGCTTCCCGTGGCCTCGCTGGCGTAGATATAGCATTGAGTTCTAGGGCAGAACTAGCTCTCTTAGACTGAATCTAAGTAGACACTCGCTTGGCACTGTCCTACTAAATGGAACAGTAAGGAATCGGAAAGATACGGACACTCGTTGTTGCTTCTTCGTCGTCTCCAGCTATGATCCCACTGACTGCAGATCAGATGAGGTAAAAGATGAGTTTTACAGAAAGCTTTCTGACCTCCTCTGGGAAGTTAGACACCTTGGTGTAGTAATAGTGGCTTGTGACTTTAATGCTCAACTAGGTAAACTAAGCGAAAAGAAAAGACACCTGGGTGAATCTAATGGTGTCGCGGCTCAAAGAACAGATAACGGCGACCGTCTGTTGCAGCTACGCTCAGATAACCGCCTGTTTCTTGCAAACATTAACTTTAAGCATAAGGGAAAACATCTTTTAACATGGCGACCCCCTAATTCGTCCCAACGCTGGACCCAAATAGATCACATCGCTATTAGCCACCGATGGAGGGGCTCAGTAGAAGACTGTCGCTCATTCTGGAGCACATGCTTAGACTCAGATCATGCTCTGGTGCGAGTGCGTATTTGTCTACGTCTTACTGGAGGTAGGAAAGATGGTACAAGGAAACCCCTTAGGGTCCTACTTAATGATAGTCGAGCTATGAGTATATTCCAGGAACAACTAGAAAAACAGTTAGGCAGCCATGTAAGTGATGCCCACCCCGAGGCAGCGTGGAATGACATCCGAAAAGCTGTAGAAACAGCAGTGATGTCTGCAAGTACGGTAAACCATAAGGTTAGAAAGAAACACTGGATCTCAGCAGCATCTACCGCACTGATAGATGCTCGGAAACTCCTCTCATCTGGCTCTGAACATAACAAAGAGCAGTCAGCTTAAGCGTAAGCTGACTAGAAGCCTACGCAATGATCGCGAACAGTGGTGGGTAGCGAAAGCAAGAGAGATGGAAAAGGCAGCGGCAATAGGTAACAGCAGGCAACTATTCAGACTTGTTAAGGAAACCGGTATTAGGAACCCAACTGTTAGCGAAACAATCTCAGAGAAAGATGGACATATTATTCATTCTCAATCCAGGAGATTGGATCGATGGGCAGAACACTTTAGGGATCAGTTCAACTGGCCTTCTGCCACACTTCGGTTCCCCACAATCTCCAGTCGACCTGAATGGCATGTTGATGTAAGTCCCCCAACTCCTTACGAAGTTGAAAAAGCTAAAGGTAATCTAAAGCGTGGGAGAGCAGCAGGCCCTGACAGGTTTACCCCTGAGATTTTTTAAGGATGGTGGTCCAGTATTAGCAGCGAGATTAACTGAGGTCTTGCGTAGAATCTGGGAACTAAACGTAATCCCATCTGACTGGTCTCAATCACTGATTGTGTCAGTCTGTAAGGAAGGACAAAAGTCCTCTTGTGACAATAACAGAGGAATTAGTCTGACTAATATAGTGTATAAAATATTAGCTTCAATAATACTTCGACGCCTAACTAAAGCTCGTGAAGAGCAGACTAGAGAAAACCAGGCTGGTTTTCGACCTGGACGTGGTTTTATAGACCAGATATTTACACTACGTTAGGTCCTAGAACATAGACACACATTCAAACGCCCCAAAATAGTAGTATTCTTCGACCTTAAGGCGGCATTTGACTCTTGATCGTGAGGTTATATGGCAGTGTTTGTCACTGAAAGGAGTATCAAAGAAGTGCGTTAACCTTATAAATGCTCTCTACTCGAACACAGCTGGTCGAGTGAGAGCTTATGGCGAACTGTCATCAGAATTGGTTACTTCAAGTAGTGTTTGTCAGGGCTTCCCACTCTCTCCATTCTTGTTTAACTTTGTCGTTGACGTCCTTTTAGAGATAACATTTTCTCATCTAAATTTTCAGGGGTTGAACTTCTACCAGGAGATCCACTTTATGACTTAGAATATGCCGATGACATAGTTCTATCTCGTGAAGACACTGACAAAATGCAGAGGCTGCTGACCACTCTAAGCAACAATGCAGGCATGTTCGGCATGCGATTTTCTCTCTCGAAATGCAAAATGTTACTTCAGGATTGGGTTGCGTCGACACCCGAACTAGTGATAGGGAGTGAAGTAGTTAAGCGTGTCGACCGCTTCACTTATCTCGGAAGTCTCATCAGCCCTTATGGTTTGGTGTTTGACGAAATCTCAGTACGGATACAGAAAGCTCGACTAGCTTTTGCCAACTTGCTTCATTTGTGGTGTAGGCGAGATATCCGTCTATCAACCAAAGGACGTGTTTACTGGGCAGCAGTTCGTTCCGTCCTACTTTATGGCATTGAAACATGGCCAGTAAGAGTAGAGGATATTCGTAGGTTACTAGTATTTGATCATAGGTGTCTTCGAAACATTGCTCGTATATCCTGGGACCACCGAGTAAGTAATGCAGTTGTTAGGAAACGGGTACTAGGTAAGGATGGCAAATCAATTGACGAAGTAGTGAAACTTCATCAGTTGAGATGGCTGGGTCATGTGTTACGTATGCCCAACCACCAACGAGCGATGTTTTATGGAGTAGGAGTAAGTTGGAAGAAAGCTAGGGGCGGCCAGACCAAAACATGTCACAAATCCATGAAGTCACCGATAAGTGGACTGAGCCATTTTGGTAGGTAAAGTCTACCTGGTTGGGATCCGCGAGACAATAACAACCGATGGTTAGAGACCTTGAATGATATAGCTCAAAATTGATTGCAATGGCGTAGGTGCATCCACTCTTGTGTTCTCCTGAATTTTAGTCTTCTGAATTATTCATGTCCCTTATTTTTTCTCTTTCCAAATTTATTTTGCTGGATTATACTCCTTGAATAACATCTTTAAACTTTAATCTTCTCGATTACTGTGTTTATACTTTTACTACCTTTACCACTATGGGATTTGAATCGACAATTGTATCTCTGTGCTAATGTTGTATGGCATCTTGAACTGATGTACGTACGTACGAAGTTCTACGTTGTTGCTGACTGACTGGTTGATTAATTTTATCTTTTTATAGTTGTATTGTCGGAATTCTGTTCACATTTCATATCTACCTTTTGCTCATGTAATGGAGCAAGTTACTTCGGTAAGTCTTTTGCATTTACATTATTAAAGCACTCAGTTTTAATAACATGAGTAATTATGTCACATTTTAAATTAACAATGCTTTTTTCTTAATGAGTACTGTAAATATACCAACTTACTTAATTTTTTGTATGAAAATCATTTTAGTTGTAAAGTTTTCTAGTCACTGTATAAATAAATAGGAGCTTTATACATTTGGGTTTAATGTGCCTGACAGATGTTTCTGCTTTGAGGAAAATATTCAAATTCAGTTACATCACAGCACAGTTGTACTAGAGATTCATTTAGGGTTATTTTCAAACTATTACTGAAATACTCGAAATTCATTGAGGTTCGGTGTTTACAAAATTTTTCTTTTTTTTATGACGTTAGTAAAATTTTGTCCGTTCCCAGATATTATCAAAGTTAGTTTCTGTAACTTCTTAACTGTTACCCTTACTATAACTCAAAATCTGTCTGAAATGTATCTAATCTTTCATCTGACATCAAACGAAAGTTGGTAGTATTCGTACTAACCCATAAGACTGATTGAATTGGAGCTTATTATCCATTTTGTCGCCTTCATTTTAGTTCTTGATTCATCATGTTTTCTGACTGATAAGCTGTCTATAGCTGACCGACTGATGAACAACTTATACTTTTACTATTTTAGTTTGACTTTTTTTTACAAATTTAGACTATAGGTCTTTAACTTACTCAGTCATTTTGATCAGTTACATATTCTGATAGCTATTAAATTTGAGACTTAGGACTTGTTACGAGTGGAAAACACTAACTTAACCACTTCAGTTAATTTGATCAGTCAGTTATTTCCTGATAAGATATCTAGGATTGATTACTTCAAGACTACTATTGAGATGAGAATAAAATTTCAAAGGTGAGTAATATATTAATAGTTACTCGTCGATAGATAACGAGGCGAAACTATAAAATTTATGGACGAAACCAATCAGATTTAGGATAACAGGTCTTGGATTTTGACGCGAAATTCAGTCATCCATTTGGCTAAATAGCATTTTGACATTTTAACTGACATCAGATCGTGATGAAAACCTTAAATCTAGCTCCTAACCCTAGCAATCAACTGTAAATCATAATTTTAATTCCTCACACTGCTTTATAACTGTCATTTGGTCCTAGTTAGTAGGTGAACATTTTCAAGCTCACTTTAACGTCGCTCAAAGGTCATCCATGAATTATAGTCTCTCCTCGAAAAAGAAAGGCATTTCGTAATTCAATTCCTATTTTATCAAACTACTGATTTTTTTACATGGATAGTTAGGAATCGATCAACTATTTTTGTGAGATTGTCTGACCACCTGCAGACATTTACCCAGATGTCAAAACTATGGTGTGTTTATAGTTAGTGTTTGAGAACAGATTATAACAAAGGTCCCATGAATCGAATTTTACATTCTCTGTAGATTTAAAATCATACAAATAATGTTATTTTTAATTCAATAACACAAGGTAGTAAGTAATTTTGAAGAAATGTAAGAATTGTAGGCATTTTCTTATTTGAATTCGTACACCTCATGTATCTCTTCTAGAGCTACTGCCGGTCTCAAACCAGGGTAAAGAAGGAGGGCTTGACATGGGGTCAGCACCCGAAGCCATAGAAAACAACTTTGCTAAAAACGCTAACCAGAATAAAAAAATTAAACTATTTAACCTCTACCCTGAGAGTTTAAAGATTATGACACCTCAAATTTATTGGGAACATTACTAGTAGATAATGGATCCAGCTGACGAGTCCCAAATAGGACGAAACGCGCGTCCTGGATTCCACTGCCAGCCACTATCCATCTTTGCTTATTTAGTTATTGGTTGATAAGTAGCGTAATTTATTCGTAAATGCGTCTTCGTAATTTGGTCGCGAACTGTTAACACCGTTCTATGGTACAGATTTATGCTCAAGTCATTGTTATGTGTTATCTAATAAATCAATGCTGATTTCGCATTTTGGTATACAAAAAGTTATATAACTGTCGCATCATAGACATCAGACAATAACCATATCTCGGAATCTGTACATGAGTTGTCATTCTTGAAAACAACATCGTTGTTTATTGCCTTTGCTTGCAAATGTTTGCACTTTCAGGCTGCTGCTGTATTTTGTGGAGCACAAATCGGATTCCTTACTGGAGCAATCACTGGCTTGTTACATGATGCTGAGGCTCTAAAACCTACAGTACTTCCGGCGGTTCCACGTGTCTTGTCGCGTATATATGAAAGATATCAGAATGCACTTGGTAATTCATTTATAAAAAGGTATCTGTATGAATATACTCTTAAAAGAAATCTGAAGATTTTAAACAGGTGAGTAAAGGATTTGTTTTTTATTATGCTAACTGATTACCTACTTATTTGGTTCTGGATAATGTTTTTTATGTCAAATAATCTTATTTTACTACCTGATAAAATTTGATCCGTGACTGGAGAATAGTTTGAAATTTATCGTTTCACCATTTATTTTCTAATCGTGTGTAACACTGAAGATAAACTCATCGGAAAGGCTTATTTCGTCACTGAAACGATTTCTCTTTTCTTCTGTTTAAAATGAACGTCTTTAATTTATTCTTAAATACTTTATTCTTCATTCTCAAAGTAACACCTTTCTATTTTGAATGTTATTATTTATGTAAGTAGCGTTTAAATAGTCCCCGGGAATCATCTGTCTGATTCGGTTAGTCTTAAGCGCCTTTGTTGTTATCAGCTTATGGATGTGTAGAGGTTATTTTGACTTAATAAATTTTATGTTAGTATTCATAAGAGTATCGAGCTACAGATTAGTAGTTTTAGTTAGTTTATTGACTTCTGTTGGAAAGCAATGTATTTTCAACCCTGATAATTAAATCAGGCATTTTGCTTAAAACGATATAGGTTTTAGCTTTTTGCAAACATGGAAGCAGTAAAACGAAATTATTCTGAGTATGATGTTGTTGTTATATGTTTAATAAAATCCTGCTTTTAGCCCACATGTGTAAAATTTTTATGCTTAACCTGACTGGAAATGCAATGAAATAAAGCTGAGTGTTATGGATTTATTTAAAATAATGTTTATACATCTTGTTTCACTTCGATAACACCTAAATTTATCAAGTACTCATCAAATTTCATCTTTCGATTGAAGAGGACAAGAAGTGAAATTCCTGTTTTACAAATTTGCTCAATCAGTTAATTTTGATTACGTCAATTTTAATAGCATAGGCTTTTGTAAAATTAATATATTTTAATTCTTTTGTTTTCTCCTTTTTAGTGGGAAAATTAATCGTGATGATATTCTTGATACACTTTTTTTCAAGAAGCTCCGTCAGGCTCTTGGTGGAAGAGTATGTATGATAGTTACAGGGGGTGCACCTATTTCATCGGATCTGTTCAACTTCTTTCGAGCTGCTTTCAAGGGTCTTGTAGGTCATGTCTGTTCGTCTTACATTATAAAGTTTTTTTTGGCGGGTTCTTTTTATTGAAATGATAAAACGTTCTCATTGGACCTTTGTTTCAACGGCGAATTGCTTATACAGTAAACGTTTTCTAGATTCTTTGAAACTGCTTTAGTCTAAGGACGTCTAAAAGTACTTGAGTTGGTTATATATATATATATATATATATATATATATATATATCTGATTTTTTATGGTCCTTCGGGCTATATCAGTCGACGTTAAAAATAATCTATCAATTAACAATTTCTCTACACATTTCATATAGTTGATTTGCTCATGCAAGATGTGTTGATTTTCTCATAGAAGCGGCTAAAACATTTTTTAATATTCTTATCAGTGTATGATGTACTTTTTTCTTTGATTTTTTTCAATATTACTTTATCAGTCAATATTATCAGGAAACACTCGCGTTTAATGACTAGAGAAAAAACAACGATATCGTTTGCAGACAAACATGTATCTAGATGTTTAACTGTCATTTATTGAATAACATATAAAACCACTTCATTCACTTAATATATGGTGTTATTTTTTACTTTTCTTAGCAAATGAATCTAGAGACTGGTACCTAGCTATTTATTTGAGTTTACTAAGTTCTACCCCGCTCTACTTAAACTGGTTGTTATAGGTATTGCTTGAAACCACCTCTGTGGATGATTTAAGTAATTTTATTGTTAAGTTATATGTCATCGTTCGTTGTGCCAAGGCAATACAAATTAAGTTTTCAGTTGTACTTTCGATCTGAGAGTGTGAAAACGTTACTTACAAAAATACCATAACCTGATTATCTTTTTTATTTAATTAGCTTTTTATTATAAGATCAGTAAACTGAGTAAACTTGTTCAGATACATATATATGTATCCGAAATGAACTATAGGTATTGATAGACGTTTTTATCAGTGTCTACTGAACACATAGACATTTGAAATAATGAATGAACCTGATTCTTCACATTAGCTTTAATCTTTATCGAGAAAAGTCCTGTTTTAAATCACCAGTCTTTACTCTAAAGGAGTCATGTGCTGTAAAACATTATTTCAATAATTCATTTTTATATTGTTTGTTTAAATCTTCCCATTGATGTTTAGGGCTGCAGTTGATCAGTCTCTTATTGACATATGTTCATCCTGTGCGGAATGCCTCGATATTGCCTTAAGCATTGCTAGCCACCATTCATCTTTGTTTACATTAATTCAATAGTTCCCATTTCCAGAATAATTTTATGAGTGTACTAGTCATCCTAATAAGTGAATAAGCTTTAAGATTACCTGAAAAAGACCGTTTCTATTTAGCCTGTAACCAACACATTCTTCGAAGTCATAAAGACTACGACTATCTGTTTATAGCTACCTACACTGTGAATTAGATGATCGTCTTCCCACTTTATCAAACCCCTGGCTTAATGATGCATAATTGGTTATTGATGAGATCCCAGTCAAGTGCTTTGCCTTTGACCATATCTCTTTTGTAACAGTAAGACCGAAAAAGCTGGACTAATTCCTACCATTCTTTTGAATGGGGGTACATTGAAACCCAACTTTATAATGATCATACAGAAATTCTATTCACAAATACGGATATCTGTGATAAAGTGCATATCAATAGAGTTTACGAAGTTACAGACAAGTCTGTCTAATGTTTCATCCCCATTAAAAGTTAAGTATTGAGATTGATAAGCTTTAACGGCTCACATGAGTTCACAGTTCATGATGACTTTTTAGAAGCAACAATTTAGTGTTTCAAATCCATACATAAAACACGGGAGAAATATTGATACATTTAAATAATGGGATTGATAGAACACTCAGTGAAATTATTATGCATCTGTAGTAAATGTAGGGTTAAACTAGCTCCCTGAAACTAAGTTTTGTATCTTAAGTTATGTCATAATCTGTTTGGAACTCGACCTGAAATCTAAATGTTCAGAATCAAAAGCTTTGGACTCTGTCTATTCATTGATCGAGTTTCGCCTCCACTTATTTACTTTTGCTTCTTCGTTTTTGTTAGAAACATTCTCGCCTTAGAAAATAAAGTTTGAACAGTTTTTTGACAGGTGCACTTCATTTAAAATTATTTGGAAATAAGCTACATAAACATTTATCCGTTGTTGAATGTATGTCATTTTAAATTTCTAAACACTTTTAGTCTTTCTGTAAATTGTACAGGTTCTCAAGTAATTGTGTCACCTGTATTTAGATTGTCGCAGGTTACGGATCAACTGAAGTTTCCGGTGTAACTAGCGTAACTGTCCTAGGGGAATCGCATGAAGGTACTGTTGGTGCGATCACTTCTAGGATAGAAGTCAAACTCGCTGATGTCTCAGATATGGATATTGTAGCTCTCAGAGATAACAGAGGCGAGGTAAGTATATCACAAAATATTTTACATTTTACTGTATTGTCACAACATAACATAAATTTATAGGCGTAGGTCTATTAATGTTAACTTCGTTACTTCTAGCGTATTGGCAAAGGAGTTTGGAATATAACTTCCTCTTTTGAAAATAACATGTACGGAAATATTCTGATGCAGTTAATAGAATTGGTTTTCTTTTCAATTGTTTTTATAGTTGAAAGGTCAGAATTTTCTGATATTTGTCAAAAATGGGACTTTTTTTAAACTTTGACATACAGAGAGTAATACCTTTATAATTTACTTTTCATCGACTTTTAAACTGAATGGAATGTATTTCTAAAATTCTGTTATGATTAGGAATAAATCTTCTTCGTTTTAGAGTTAAAGCTATCATGCATATTTAATTTAGTTGACCGTTGAATATCGGCATCTTTATTGTGATCCAGAATATTGTTTTGATATTCAGGTTTTATAACATGTGTGTTTTCCTTATTGATCAATTAATTGATAATTTACTCAAATATCGTTGTCCTCACAGTATGTGTTAGAACCATTCCATCATTAGGATTTAGGTTAGAAGTAACAATAAATGTTTTTTTAAAAAAATAAACGGGATATTCATACAAAGTTAGACTGTTATGCTCACTAATGAGCTTTTTACTCGATGCATTTCCCGGAGACAATATAGTCTGATAAAATAAAAATATTGGGATGAAAAGGAATTTTCGTTGAATAGAATCATTTCAAAAATAACTGGTTTTGGTGTGTATTAGATTAAGTTTTGAAATTGATACACCTTTTCACGGTAGTCACATTTCACTTTAAACCGTTTTAAAAGTCACAATGGGAAATTATTTGCATCACATTTATAATTGTTTACTTCTCTCATCAGTATACTATTTTTGTATTAGATATGTATTAAAGGGAAACGGTGTACCAAAGGTTATTTCAAAGACCCTGAAAGTACAGCCCAAATTATTGATGCTGATGGTTGGTTACATACTGGTGACATTGGAGAATGGACTACTGTAAGTTTTGACGAAACGTATATTTGTAAGAGTAGTTTTTACAAGATATCTATCCACTTGTTTTTCGAACCAATTTTTCTTTAATCAGATCGATCTATAAATGTATGTACCATAAGGATTGATTAATCATGGCAGAAATGTTGGTATCACACACATAATATAACTAAATATTGTAAATTAGTTTATATAGCTGTGGTATTCGATTCCCTGAGGTTATTCGAATTATGATTGCTCATATTCAGACAAGCTAGTGCAGAGATGAGTGCAGCCAAAGCATGATGTCCGTCTACAAAATATCGTCTGTAGAAAAACTTTCTGCAACATTTCTCGTAGTGGGAGTCCATAAGGCTAAAATTATGTGCCTACTTACAATAAACTAACGCTAAAGACTAAGTAAGCGTAAAATAAAATGAGTAAAGGTCAGTTAGTTAAAAAAAATCTTCAGTTTGCAGTTGTGGAGATTGTTGAATTTCATCATGAACCGATCAATGATAGACCAGCATCGGAAGCATGTAAGCACTAGACAGGCGTTTCGTCCCAGTATGAGACTCCTCATACGTGCGCATCCATGATCCCGCACGCAACAATCCAGCCAAGCACCTTTAGTCTTGTGAGCGAACACGTTTGAACTCTAGACCACTGAGCCAACATCCAACGGTGTTAGTGTCTAACATCAACCAATCCATGATGTCGCGCGACCATCTTCGGTGTGTAACTGCCTCATATCCGACACGGTTGTGCATGGTTGAAGTTAGACACTAACACCGTCGGATGTTGGCTCAGTGGTCTAGAGTTTAAATGTGTTCGCTCACAAGACCGAAGGTGCTTGTCTGGACTGTTGCGTGCGGGATCATGGATGCGCACTTATGAGGAGTCTCATACTGGGACGAAACGCCTGTCTAGTGCTTACATGCTTCCGATACTGGTCTATCATTGATCGGTTCATGATTTCGATGAGAAAAAGTTATCGAACCAGAAGAGAATTGTAACGATGTTTCTTTCTCAGGCAAATAAATCATGTTTCTAGTGTTTAATAATAATAACTTCAGCAAAATTCGGAGGACTAGGTCTTGGTTGTTTGTCAACTTAATGTCCTGCACTCAAGTCATGACTAGAAATCGTACCATTGAAAGTCCTTATTTCTGTTGGCCAAAAAAATTGAACAACACAACAGCAAAGACAATATCCATAATTATTCCACCACGTAACTAAGTGCGACCAAAGTAGCGTTCATAATATCTGGCATGTATGTGAAGCGTCCCACTTGTAGGAGACTTGAACAATACTCTACCAATGATATGCTTTACGACGCAACACGGAAGGCTAATCTTTTGCAAAAGAGTTTTCACTCTCTTCAGCAGCCGAAAATGTGGTGTAACTGATATCAATAGTTTATCCATGATCCTAGGGAGCCAAGAGTTACCTCAGGCCAGTATATGTAAGGATATAATGACTATATGTACGTTAGAAAAACTACTCTACTAGTCTCAGATTACAAACTAACATAAAGCTTAGATTTGGCATACAGCAATAGATACGAATCTATTGCAGTCCTTGGTGTAAACAACGAGGAAGTTTAAGTCTCTAAATTTTACTTCATACCTGTTTAACTCGTTAGTATATATCTGGACTCAGTTTTTATTAAGTAATGCGTTGAGGTTCGGAGTAAAGGCTATTGAATTCGGGTTTCAGTGCGAATATCATGTTAAGTTCCACTGCTGATCACAATCCAGATATTTGAAATTTGATTGTTTTACTCTTGGACACAATTATTTACCTTTTGAGTGAATCAGACCTGCATTAGTTGTGGTATCTGAATCGTATCACGAGAGGCTTTTTATTCTTATTACTTTTATATAGCTTTTGTTGTAGGTGACAATTTAACTATGAGAAAACAATTTTCGAAGCTATTTTTCTACGATTTTCCTTATATCTATTGATTGGATGTTTAATAAGTATTTTGGTTTGATTATTTTCGTATTACCCTAGTTTCTAGCTTTTATTTGAACCGTAAATTTTTGCTATACCATTTTCCACTTATAAACTAGGACCGACTATTTGTGCACCCATAACTCCGTTTTCCCCATCATTAATGTAGTTGTTCCATGTTAATACTTAGCTGATCCACTGCGTGATCTGGTCTTGTATGTATATAAATGTCTGAAATATAGTAACGATCTTGGACGGGTGAAAATTGGTCTTGTGTTCTTCCTCTTCGTTCGGGGTTAGTTAGTGTTGAGCCGACCGTCAAGTATCGAGTACCACTCTTCCTCCTCTTTGCTATGTAATGGTTGATTATGATCTACGTAGTTCTCGTTTTATTTCTTCTGTGTTGTTACCTATTGTTCAGTTGTCTGTGTTCTACTTAAAATTATATAACTCATCCTCCCATAAACACTTAAATACATAAATTATAATAGTTCTTTGTTATGTATAGTTTTGATTGATGATATCCAGGTGGCTGAAACTCTATGTCATTGTTTCAGAAAACTGCAATCAACGTAACCCACTATGTATTAAGTTTACTCTAGAATAAATTAGTGCTTTTTAGGACCATGTTATGACTTTATGTCCGGCTTTCTATCACGTGATTTATACACCAATCAAAATACGACTTATACGATCTTAGCACTGTGCCAAACCAATGACGTTCGACCGGTATGAGCAGCCTAGCCTCCCTATTGATCCTATGTTCGCCTAGCCCGTCCACTTGAGTCCAGAACACCAATATCAGTTTCCACTATGCGAATCATATATTTAAAACATACTGTATTTATGTATCATCCAAACAGACCGCAACGCACCATAAAATAGGAAATAACATTTGTACACAATAAAGCCAAAAAGTGGCTGTGAACGTGGGAGGCAGTAGTTAATAAACTGAACATTGCTTTCGAACAGTAAATCGTACAATAATAAATTATAGGTCAAAACAAAACTTATAACAAGGGGAATATAGATATTTATACCATGAGAGCATATAAATAATATTAGTTCATTAATAGTCCTCGAAAGTTACCCGCAATTGTCTTTTTTTCAACAGTAAAGTATTATGACCTCAGCACATGCTCTTTTCTTTAACACTTCAAAGGAAGGCGCCTTGAAAATTGTTGATCGTGTAAAAAGTATGTTCAAGCTGGCACAGGGCGAATATGTAGCTCCAGAAAAAATAGAAGTGGCTTATCAGGACTGTCAAATTATAGACCAGATATTTGTTGATGGGAAACCGGAACAAAATTTCCCTGTCGCTGTTGTCACTCCGAATTTCGTAAACTTACGTTCATGTATTAATTCTTACCTAAAATCTGATGGTAATGTAGATGGTGGGAAAATACTCGATCTGAAACCATCAGATATTTCTCGATTATCTGACACCGATATTTGCAAAAACATAGAAATTCGTCGATTTGTTTTGCGAAAAATGAATGAAGTCGCAACAGAAAAGGGATTAAAGTTATTTGAAATGGTAAGTGTTAAAGTTATCTGGTAATTCCCACCTTATCACTGAAAGGACTTGCTTATATTTTATTTAGCTTCTAATTCTCGTGTTTACATATCTAAACTTTTCAGTGTAGGTTATTTTGTTAATTGTAGCTTAGAATATTTATTAAAAGTCGGTTATGTAAGATATGTAGTTTTTCATTTTGATTGGAATAAAAACCACTACCCTGATAATGTCGATCCAGTATACTGTGTTTCGATGCACAAACTAAATTTTTGGGAAAATTCAAACATTACCACTTAACATTTCCGAATAAAAGTTTGCAAATGTAATCAGTCAAAAGAGCTTCATATGAAACAAATCTTATGTTCTGATGAGATAATCAACTGATAGATCTTGTTTTCATCGTGAAACATGTATGTCCTGAAATAGATTCTATATTGAGTTGAGGAATTCAAGAATTTGTATGTTTATGGTAGGCTCCAACTAGTTATATAGGTACTTAGTTACGTCTGTTACTCACAATAGAGCATAGGCCGCCGACCAGCATTCTCCAACCCACTCTGTCCTGGGCCTTCCTTTCTAGTTCTATCCTATTGTTATTCATTCTCCTCACATCTGTCTCCATTTCTCAGCGTAATGTATTCTGTGGTCCTCCTCTCTTCCTTTGGACTCGAGCATTCTAAGTGAGGCATTGCCTTGCGACGCAGTTGGGCATATAGTACTAGGTACTGAATAATCATGTCAAACAGAAGCTTCATAAAACTTGTCAATAAATCATGTTTTAAATCTCAAGTCAAGTGCAAGTTTACGAATAACAGTGCGGATCTTTAAAGTTGTAATTTCTGGAAAGATACTCTTTGATGAAACCATACGTTTGATTATAGAACTAACATGAATCATGGTTTTTAATACTCGATCAAAACAAATCATAAAGTAGATCAATGAAGAACCACTTTTGTCGATCATTTTGTAGACTGTTGACCATACTTAGTTGCGTTGCAGTAAGACCCTAATACCTAATAACTAAACTTACATTTGATTACTCTAATTCATTCATATTTTCTCCCTAGCATGGATGACAAAATAAAATCACTTTCTATGGGGCATCAGATTGTAACGATTTTAACTTCAATGAATAGGAAGTACAAAGACCAAATATATTAGGTTTTGAAATTTATCTTGCAAAGAACTATAACTAGTCAAATAGTTTGTGGCTACTTCCCATGGATAATGACAACACTATTCATTGTTTCGAATATAGCTTAGACAAAACAAAAAACCTAATTCTTATAAGTCATATGAAATTCTAAATTAATTTCAATGGTTGAAGCTAGAACACCATGGAAAACCTGGAAGCACTGGACGGCCGTTTCGTCCCATTGTGGGACTCCAGTAGTGCGCGTCCGCGATCTAGTGGATAAATTCACGCGCGTGAAACTGATAGGTCCTGGGTTCGAACCTCGAGAGGCGGGATCGTGGATGCGCACTGCTGAGGAGCGCCACAATAGAGTGAAACGGCCGTCCAGTGCTTCCAGGTTTTCCATGGTGGACTAGCTTCGATTGACTCATGATCTCAACCATTGAAAATACTATAATATCCACAAAAAAAACCTTCCAAATTAATTGTTGTAAACTTCAGGGTGACAGTATTTGTCATAAACTTGTGAATGTAGTTGGGAAACAATTTTATAATCTGAATGACGACGTCTGCTTTATCTACCTATAAATTGATATTTTTAAATGGGGGTAAATATAGTTCATTCGTGGATGTTTTGACATTCGGGTTGGGGTGAAATTTTCATAAATGTGATGTTTTCTATACGTTGATAAATTCAGTTATGTTGGAGTAAATACGACGCTTTTTGCTGTAATTAATAAGACTTTTTTAACTCTTATGTCCGATCAAAGTTGATTGTTTAAACTTTTTTCAGGTACAATCTATCTACCTAAATGATAATCCATTTACTGTTGAAAATGGATTGTTAACTCCAACCATGAAAATATCACGTCAAAATGCCCGTCGACACTTCCAATCTATCGTTGAATCACTATACTCGGAAACAGATGTTCTGAAGGCCAATGCATAAGTAACATTTGTAATTAAGAGCTCAATTTATCCCACCGCCATTGTTCACTATCTTAAGTCATAAAATCACATCACATACAGCAATCATCCTGTTGTTCGTACATAAACAAATACAAAGGGAGCACCCCATCGTTATTTCTTTTTTCTACTACAATTATATTGTTTATTGACTTTTTTTAATTCGTGCAAAACCATCCATATTATATATGTATTTCTATTTTATTCATTCTATCCTGGGTGACAATTTACCGTGAAACTCACTCCTATTTATTTACTTTAAAAAATTTATATTTCTTCAGTTGAAACAGTAAATTACAAAAATCCAACCACGCAAGAGAGGTAGCGTGAAGGACTTAAAACGAAAATCCATTAAAAAATATTTTAGCTACGAATATGTTGTCATATTTACCGGTAATAATTAATGATGAATAAGATCATGCGTCAGTTGAAGCTAGACCTCCATGGAAAACCTGAAAGCACTGGACGGCCGTTTCGTCCTATTGAAATTACTAAAATCTCCACAAAACCCCTTCTGACAATAATCAACATATGCTCACTAGTGACTGGCTTCAAGAGGTATATCCTGGAGTTCTAGTGAGAAGTAGTGACCAGTGGAGTTCAACCAGGTCTGTTGTGAGATAGTAACTCACTGAAGACAATGGTGGATGTGTCGCTCAATTTCGTGAATTAGTTGAAGTTAGACATTAACACCGTTGGATGCCGGCTCAGTGGTCTAGTGGATAAGTGCTCACTCGCGAAACCAGTAGGTCCTGGGTTCGAATGTCTCAAGGAGCGAGGTCGCGGATGCACATTGCTGAGGAGTCCCATAATAGGACGAAACGGCCGTCCAATGCTTCCAGGTTTTCCATGTTGGTCTAGCTTCAAGTGACGCATGATCTTAACCATTGAAATTACTACAATCTCCACAAAACCCCTCCTGATAATCATGATGAATATTCAAAAAGTTAATTCAATAGTCATACATAGTTGTTTTACACCTCGAAATGCGTCCATAGTTCATTGCTCGATATCATTATCATCACTGTATTCAAAGTGCACTTAGTTGCAACTCAAATGTTGAATGTTTGTAGCAAATGTGTTGGCAGGTTATCATTATTCCAGTTGAATTGATCGGCAAGTCCCTTTAACTCGTATCCGAAAAACAAACCCTTATACTGATTTACAGTGTAAAGATCGGATTTTTTACAAGGCCTTCACTGTAACTCAAGGAGTAGACGCAGCGTAACCGAAGGCACTAACTGTTTCCATTATCATGCTTATACTACCGACCTCCATCATTCCCGTTTAACGGAAATTGAGTTCTCTTTACTCTAGCGCATTTTTTCATGGCTGTGATATATGACCAATTTACACTTATGATAGCATCAGTCGGAAGAATTAGGAATGTATGTTTAATAAAACTGCACGACAATAAGTATCGGACAGAGTTACTATAACTGATTTGCTAAAAATTTATTAATTCGAGAAACGATGTATATGTACATCAAACTCAAACTGGTAACTCTCTGCATTAACATGTTTTGTATGGAGATATCACTTTATTTAACCTTAAACTGTATAACTTGATATTGCATCTGAATGGTGGAGCTAGACAAAATGCGAATTTGCTACTTACCTCTGACAGGTAAAATACGGATTTTCTAACAAGCTATTAAACTGAACCGTTAGCACTTTCTCATGTGCTACTTAGTAAGAAGTAATTAAGTTACAGCCAAATGTAATAAATTTTTAAGAGAGAGCAAGTGCGTTCGCCATTAAAAAAACTCAAAAAACAATTGAATATAAAACATGTAGTCTGTTACAATGTTCGACTATTTATTTTCTTATAAAATACAGTAAATGTACAAATTTATAGTGCATAATTCAGCATTACGTCTTGTTTGGCTAGTTCTAGCAACATAGGATCATCAAAGAATTTGTTGATACTGACATCTTCATTCAAACCCTAAAAGGTAACAGATGTTTTTTTTAGCATAATAAAATTATAAATTGACATGAGATGTTAACAGTTGTATGTATTGTTTTTGGTGAGCATCAGGGAAGATTAATAATAAATGACAAAATGTCCGCGAAAATGTAAAAAATTATTGCTCTAATAACACAAACGTCGCTGCTACGCTGAAGTGGTGGTCGGGTTTGCCTATAGTGATGAACCAATCGAGCTACAATAACTGGAACAATCGTTCCGCAAGGTCCTACCATTCCAGACGAGTCAATTGAAAAGGACTAAGACTAAAAGCAGCAAACCCAAGGTCAGAGGGGGTCCACTTATCGACTTAGAATACGCAGATGACATAGCCCTGTTTGATGAAGTTGCTGATAAAATGCAGTGTTTTGGTAGCACTGAGCAACAATGCTATCATATCTGGGATGCGTTCTTCCCACTCTAAATGCAAGTTGTTGCTTCAGGACTGGTTTGTGTCAACACCTGAACTAAGGATAGGGAGTGAAGTAGTCGAACGCATCGACAAATTCGTTTATCTCGGAAGTCTAATCAGCCCCAATGGGTTGGTGTCTGACGAAATCTCAGCACAGATTCTAAAAGCTCACCTATGGCTTAGGCGATATATCCGTCTATCAATTAAGGCACGAGTATACTGCTCAGCAGTTCGTTCTGTTTTACTTTACGGCTGTGAAACGTGGTCATTAAGAGTAGAAGATACTTGCAAGTTACTAGTATTTGATCACAGATGTCTTAGGAATATTGCCAGCATCTGCTGGGATCACCGGGTAAGTAATAGTGAGGTTAGACGCAGGGTATTAGGGAATGATGGTAAATCGATTGATGAGGTTGTGAATCTTCATTCACTGAGATGGTTGGGCCACGTATTACTCATGCCCGACCACCGATTACTACAGCGCGCAATGCTGACTGGTGTTGGGGATGGTTGGAAGAAAGTTAGGAGCGGCCAAGCCAAAACGTGGCATCAGTGCTTGAATTCACTAACTTTTAGTCTGAGCCATGTTGGTAGATGCGGACTACTTAGTTGGGGTCCGCGTGACTATCGTAACCAATGGTTGGAGACTGGATAACATGGCTCAGAATCGATCACAATGGCGTAGGTGTATGCACTCTCTGTCTTCCCTTAAACAGTGATATTAAAATTACTTTAGACCTCATTTTCTTACAATCACTAGTAGTATCTATAGTTTTAGCTTGTATTTAAATAATCTAACGATTGTTTGCTTGCTACACTTTAGGGTTATTGTAATATAGTAATCGTAATTCTAACGATCAACTCTTTAACGAAAGTTAATATACATAGTCTCATCAAAAATAATGGGTGATACTACAAGAAACATTTGTTACAGTGGTTGTATAGCACATGTTATGAGAATATGATGAAAACTTAAGAAAACATGTTTGCTTGACTCATTTTGATTTTTTTATTTTCGTTTACTTAAGACTAAGTTTACTTTTCAAACACCCAAGATCACGCTTCAATATTACTAACCTTTCTTCTACGAGTTTTAACCATAAACTCTCGAGCCAAATGAGTAGCAGGCTGTGGGACCAAAGGCTGTATTTGAATTGAACGATCGAGAGGATCTCCTGGAACCATTTGCCAGTGATTAAAAACAAGCATACAAAATGCCTGTCCTTGAGAATGAGTTCGAAGATCTGTCTCGAATCCAAATGAATCGATGACGGGTACAAATGCACGGATAACATACAAAGGAGATCCAGATATAGGAGCATCATGTGTTACATGACCACTGAAAATTAAGTGAAAACAAGTTAATTTTGTAAAATTAATATTACTTCTCCGTTTATCGGGATTAGAAAAGCGACTTACACCTCTAATAAAATCTATGAACAACAGTCTTCTATTATTTCTCAATCCGTTAATATGTCTACCAGTGTTACGATATAATCAATTTATGGATAGGATTTTTGACAACTTTTTTTAAATGTGGTGGTTGGGGATTAAACAAAACATGCCGAAGGTACAACATATATCACCATATATACATATAATACTTATGTTCAAAGATACTCTATTCGCTAACACATTCATTACTTTGATTATGATGTAGCTGTCGGATAAAAATCTTTCCAGTACATACCAGAGGTATGCACACTTAAAAGCTATACTTTTGTTGATCAAAGTACGGTAGAAGGGAGATTTGACGTGTGACCTGGCTACTGATTATTATTATTTGAATATGTAAATATTGGTCTAAGAGGGCACCAAATATATATGCGCCGTACAAAACAATGAGAATTTGAAAAGAAAAAAAGGTGAGGAGCTATAAAAAGAGAACAATAACGGACAGATTAGTGTAAGATAGTTTTGCTTAATTTCGTTAAGTAAGAGTCTTCGTTTGTGGTCAAACTCACAGTCACCCGGAGTACACCAACGGGCTTCAATGAGTTGTAAGGAACCAGAAGAAACCCAGTGCTTATAAGCGAGACGTTTCGCGAACCCACAACTGACTTGACCCGCCATTTTCATGGCGTCATGCAATTGCAACCAATGCTCATCTATACTTTTCGGAGGAATGGTAGCTAGCCTAGAAGCTAGCTCGGTTCGATACTTACTAGCAACAGAAGTTGCAACTAACTCGCTGACATCAATCCTTTGGTGCCGGTCACTTCGTTGGCCACTGAAAAGTAACATAAGATAGACGCAGACCAGGGCATGATCAGAGTCCAGGTAGGTACTTCAAAACGAGCGGCAGTCTTGTACACAACCACGCCAGCGGTAGCTGGTCGCGATGTGATCAATCTGAGTCCAGGCTTGAGATGCAGAAGGGGGACGCCAGGTGGCACATCGGCGACGACTATGCCGAAAGTTAGTGCTAGCCAGAAACAGGTTGCGGTCTGTGCATAGTTGCATTAGACGTTCCCCGTTATCTGTCCTGCGACCAACAAATTCCCATTGACCACCTAAATGAGTCTCTTCTGTGCCTAGACGCCCGACCTGAGCATTTAAGTCTCCGGCTAGTACTACAATATCTGTCGAGCGCACTTTCTTGAGAAGAACAGTTAACTGGTGTTAGAACTCATCCTTGATTGCATCCGGGCTGCAATCTGTCGGAGCATAGGCGGAGATGACGAAAATATATCGTTTCTCACGCCAATTTCTTCTAACTTTGATGGGACTTTCTAATCTAACAGCACATAACCGACTGTTAATGGGGATCCAATCGACTAGTGCTGCCTCAGCTCTAGCGCTTGGTGCGACAGCAAGGCCAGACGAAGATGCCACAGGGTCCCCGGATGAACGCACGTAAAACAAGCTTTTTGAAGTGACAGATGGAGAGCGAATTTGTAGTACTTCACCAGAGTCTTAAATATGGGTCTCGGATAGACCGACCTTCATAAGTGTGCGAACGTTGAAGGCAGCCAGTTTGAATGGTGCACGTA